GGTAGTCGACTTGGGCTCTGCCAGGTGAGATTGCAGGACTTGTAGGGTTACCTCTCCAGCCTCCTCTCTCACACCAAGAGGGATTGTATTATCCAGAATGTAAAACGATTGGCTGTTTAGGGATAAAGCTGGTGAATAACTTGAAAACTGGAACTTACTGAAGGAAAGTTGGAGGCCCAAAGTTGAGTTGGAGAGCCCAGAGTATGAGAAGGCAGATATTTCCTGTAAAAAGTCATAAAATCAGCAAGTCATCATAAGTTTATACACTCTCTTAATGTTCATCTCTAATTCAGGGCAGCAGCTTTGTGGGTTGGGGAGGGGAAATAGTTACTACTGTGGAGTTACTTCTTTATCTCTGGATGTCTGGAATTGCACATTGTACCCAGCAGTGGCAGTGAGTGTGGGAAGTGGGAGGCTCCAGCCTCCCTCATGTCTTGGGTACATCTCTAGGCTGGTGCAGTACTCACTGTGTAAGACTTCTGGGGGGTGAGGTAGGGAATACTCAGCCCTCAGAAAGTCAGTCCTCAGAAAGCGCTTGTATCTTGAAAGGCAAGTGTGTGTTGGGAAGGATAAAAATACTTTTGGGCATTTTTGCAACTTGATCGCCTAAAAGCCTATAAGGTTATTAGATAGCTCAGACATGTCTAATCTTATAAATATATGACCTCTAGACAGTGTGTGTTATTTTGCTGTACCCCCTCCTGATTTTCTTTTCCATGGACTGATGTAGACATAAGCAACAGCTGACATGAAGAAGATAGAGGGGGAAGCTGTTTTGCAATAATATCTTAAAAGCATATGAGAGCAAAAAGAAATTCTGTTACGTTAATTGTGAATTAAGAACTGTTATTTTACTGCCTTTATGGAAAATTTTCATCTTCTGTACCCTGTAGGATGTCATTCTAGTTTTAACTGCTGTACTTGTGTCTGTGTGTTCTAGCAGTTAAGTCATTACCTGTGTAATACAGCATTGCTTTCTGGCAAGTTGTGTTGTGCGGATTCAGAAAAAGTGTCTTTGGATATAAAGCCTTTTTTTTGGTTGGTTTTTTTTTTTTGGTTCTTTTTGTTTTTTACCGGCCCGGGCGGGTGAAGAGCTACATTTTTAGTTTGTCAGAAGGTGATGATCTGTGTGATGGTCCTTACTGCCTTTTGGTATTTCACACTCCTCAGTCATTGCTGTAGCTTGATCACAGATAACTGTAACATGCATGAGTGATGCCATTAATTAAGGTCGTGGTATGGATGCACGGCTGATTATTTGGGGATGGTGAGCTGAAGCCAACAGCTGTTGTGAAGGTATGGGGTTGAAACTCTCTTCATGTGGCTGGATGGTGAGGGACAGCCTTCATGTGCTTTTTGTGGTGGTTAGGGGGCATGTCATGCTTGTGGGATGCAGAGCAGTTTTACACTAGTCCTCGTCTTCAATTTTGTAAGTAGGAAAGCAAATAAATCATCAAGGATAAATAGTCACTTGTGTTGAAGGGCCTGACTTGTTTTGTTTGCTATCAGGCTCTACCTTTCTGTCCCTAGACCTTATTTTTTGTTTCATCCTGTTCTTAGTAGGAGTTGAGATGTGTATCTTCCTGTTGTTTAGAGATTTGCTAATTTTGTCTCCTTCCCCATCCCCTCTTTCAGCCCAGGGTAAGGACCCTGGCAGCTGTGCACATACAGGATGTCTCCTATGGACAGCTGGATTGTTGGGAGTCCATGGAAGGTTTCTGTTTATTGTGTGTGTGTATGCACAGGCATCTGCAATTGTAGGCACTGCCCTGAAAGCAAACTGGAATATTAATTGGGTAGGCAGTATGAGAAAGGGTGCACTTCCATGGCATGGGAGGAAGTTGGAGGTGAAGTGGAAGAACTGCTCAAGGAAAAAGGCAGTGTTTTGGAGTGTAGGGCCCAGTGGTGTGCCTCCTTTGAACCTCCTGTGCAGGTCTTGTAGTCTTCTTGGCTTGGCTTGGCTGCTTGTGGAGTTTCAGAAGTGTTCTCATCAGCCCAAGCATCAGTTTGGAGAGTGGTTTGTTGAACTTAAAATTTCCAAGTTGTACATGTGGACTAGGAATTCAGACCATTTTCTGTGCAGGATTGCATTTTAATTTTAGTATTTAAAATCTCTATGAAAATGCAGACACTTTCCTCTGATACGTGTTATTTTGTGTAATGTGGTTTGCAGTGTGCTCTGCATTACTTGCAGAGAGGAAGAAGCCCTTTTCCAGGTAATTTGAGCAATGGGAAATAGGTCTCCATTAGTTGCATAGCTACTGATGAAATGCTTAGCATAGTTGAGGAATTAGTCTAAAACATGGATGAGATGTGCTGGGCTGTGGATTTGACATGGTGAAGTCATCCAGCACTGGCCTAGGAATGCACCTCTGCACTGTCATGTGTCAGCTCTTGGAGCATCCCGGGGGACTGGTTTGATTCTTCTGCCTTTGTGCCAGCAGTGTGCAGCACGTGGTGGTTCCTGTGAGTTTGGTTTGTAGTGTGGGTCTGGGGATGCTCCTGCTGCTGACCAAGACAGTGGTGGGGGGGGTTTATTATTCAGTACTGTTGGATACCACTGTCAGCTGTTCTTTGGTAAACCATCTGTGATAAGCTTTCTTTAAATCCATGCTAGATTTTACAATCAATGAACTGTAGTTATGTGAAAAATCAAGTTAATGTTCGCTTGAGGTATAAAATGTGTCTCTAAGAATGTATGCATGTACATGTACACAAAAAAGCTGATTAAAAATGATGTGAACTATGAGCATTTGTAACAGCCACTGAAACCCATGGGGTTAAAGACAAGGTTATATTTTCAAGACATAAATTGACATTTTTAGTTTTAATTTATAATTTTCAGGCACAGTGCTTACAAAAGTAATATTTTTTGCATCTGCCTCAGTCAAAGTACCTGGAGCTGGTTGTCTTAGGAATTATTGGAGGGTTGGAGGGAAAGAACTCATTCTTTCTTCACTTGTTGGAGCTTTCCAGTGAGAAGTGGTCAGTGAGCTCAGAGAGCACCTTGAAGCTTCAGCATTCTCTGCTGCAGTGCCCTTGCAGGTTGTGGGTGGTTCTGTCATGGGAAAAATAATTTCTCTTTGCTCTGCTGATCAGTAAATTGCTTAATGCCCACCATTGTTATTTCAGTCAGCAGTTGTTATTGCTGAAGCTGCCATATATCTATTTGGTTTTGTGACTTCTGGTAGAGTTGGTCATAACAATGTTGAGCCTTTTGTTCCCTGTTTGATGGCTGCACAGAGCCAGTGTTTGGGAATGGAAATTTGGGGTCTCGTTACTTGGGTGTTTTAACCATTTCTTTGTGGGTATGAACCCACAAACTATTCCTCACTTGAGATCTTCCACCAGTTTAAAGGCTGCAGGGATGTGATATTTAAGAGGAACTGACTCTTGCAGTTAGGAGTAAAGTTTTGGAGTCACTCAGGTGCTTTTTGGTGTGTATGAAGATGGCTCATGATCAGTCTGAGAATCCTGGAGCACAAAAACATCAAAAATTGAGTGTGCTATTTCAGTGCTTTTAGCCCTGGTTACACTCTTTGGCTGGGTAACCCAAGACTCGTGCTGAGCATTACCATTGAAACTCTTCACTTGTCACTCCAACCAAGACCAGGTTGGGACTTCACTATCAAGGTGTCTTGACAACAACACACTTTTTGACAAGACAAGAGCTTGGAAAATAGGTTTGTTAAGAATTGTCAGTTTTGGGATTGTAACCACTCGGATTCCTGGTTAGTGAATCTCTCCTAAGGCAGCCAGCCCCACTAAAGGGGCAAGTGGGCACTTGGGTTTTTTGCAGGTGGTGCAAGAGCAGCTTCCTTGGGGTCATTTGCACAGTGGTCAGTGCTGCACTGTGCTCTTCTGTCCCATGTAGCAGGTAGGTGGGTCTGTAAATCCAGGGAGACCTATGGATAATGGGCTGTAAGCAGCAATCTGAAAAAAGACGTGTCTGCAGCTCGAGTGGTGTTACAGGGGGCAGGTGGAAGGGCTGCCGGGTAAATGCCCTGGTGTGTCTCTGGTCAGCCCTGAGATAACCCTCCTGCTGCAGTTTTTCCAGGAGCAGACACCTTTGGGGGATGTCTTCCTTCCTTTGGGCTGGGGAGGAGGGAACACTATCTGTGCTTCCCACAGCCCTTTTAACAAGGATTTCAGGGAGATTGAGGGTGTAACCCTCATCAGCTGTCCCTGTTTACCGAGATCCTGAGCACCCGCTCATCCTGGAGCACCATGCTAATGTAGGCATTGCAGAAAGATCACCTGAGGTGTGCCCGGGGGCTACGGGTGTTTTCCTCCAAACACAAATGAGCTGGGAAGTCTGGAGGGAAATCGTCTTAGATAGTCCTGGAAGGAATTGTTGTCAGATCTGTGTGCAAGGTCAGCACCTTGTCAGCGGAGAAGTGGATTCAGCTCCCTCTTTATCTCGGTTCAGACTTGGGGTTTGGCTTCTGGAGTACTGGGAAAGAAAGGCCAGTCCATTCTGAACTCATGAGCATCTGTTTTCTTACGGAGTGCTGAAGCTTGGAGTTCCCTAATACCAAATAAATTATATGCATGTTTCTGTGATTATCTTGTTTTTTTGATTTTTTTTTTTTTTGAAGGCACTGCCTTTGGTAAGAACTTGTTTTTTTCCTATAACTTCAGATGTTTATCCTGCTTCAAAATACAAGTATTACTGATAAGTCTGGACAGCGCTATGGATTACATAAGTGTAAGCGATCAAAAAGTAGAGAAAAAGATGAGAGAGAGAAACTATTTGTATTCTAAGTAAATGAGCCATTCTTGTAAACTGGAGGGGAAGAGAGAGATCACATACTGCTGGTGAGAAGTGGCTGGATTTTGATAAGAACAGGAAGCAAGTAAAGACAAAGGTGTGGTCTAAGTGGAAGTAATCTGATCAGAGAGAGAAGGAAAATCATGTGCTTTGCTTTCCAGGCTGATAAAGGTTTTGATTCGATTTTTAGCAGTTCATATTTTAAAGAGTCTTTTTTTCTTTTTGTCAGATTATGTCTACTTCGAAAATTCTTCAAGTAACCCCTATTTGATACGAAGAATAGAAGAGCTCAATAAGGTAAACATTTTTTCCATCAAGTCTTTGAAGTTAATTGAATTTATGATCTGCTTGATTTGATTAAAATCAAAACAATTCTTTAGCAGTTCTCTGGTAATTAGAAGCTTAAAAACACATTTGTTCTCTGATAATTTTCTGGAATGCTTTAAGACCTTTTGTTCTCCTTTGGTATGAAAGGACTGAGTATCAATGGCATGTAATTCTCAAGGTGATTATGCCCACCTATAGGGAAGGAGGTTTCTGCAGTTCTTCACTTCCATGCCAGGATCACAGGATATGAAGAAAATACAAGAATTTGCCTAGAGGATGGAGAGCTTTAATTTGGTTTTTCTTAAGGGAGTCTCTTGCTCAGGAGAAAGGTTTGCAGCAGTGATCTGCTGGCTCAGACTTTGTCTTTGCTGGTTGTTCTTTTGGGCCAGTGAACTTGATCTGCCAAATTTCCTTTCAGTGGATGGTACAGGGAAGCATGATGGCTTCTGTGTGGAAGGCAGCTGAAATTCTCAGCAATGAAGTTCGACCCAGCTGAGGAGGGAAGAGGGTTCTGAAGCCACTGGTTGTATCCTAAACATACCACATGTTCATACAGAAGGAATGTCCCATTGCTGGTTTGGATTTGGGTATACATTAACTGACTGGTATCAGGTATTCTTCAGCCACCAGTCATCGGAAAGCATGTAGTTCTCAAACATTTACTTGGAAGAGAAAATGTATCAATTTCATGGCCAATAAAAATCTGAATGCTGGGGCACCTTTAGTAGCCCCATGAAGGTCTTTTGCAGAAATACCTTTAAGTCTCTTTTGCCTTAAAGAAACATGAGTGAATTCTTAAAGTGTTCCTAAGTGGTTCCCTATCCATGAGCTATCACTGTCTGTATTCCATTCCAGGATGCAGGTTTGTTGATTGCTTTCTTGGAAATTGTTTTCACCTCTTACTCTTCATTTTCATTCTTCTCCTCACCTTTAAAAAAAGATAAACTTTCAACCTGAATTCCCCATCTTGGTGCAACTCTTGTTTGAGCTGTGATTTCTCTAACCTGCACTTTAAAAATGGGCCTTTCACGTTGAAATGAATCCTAGCTCTTTTATTTCCTTTCTGAGTGTAGATGAAATTTTGGCAATTAAATAAATCAGATAAATTTACATAGAAGCTATCTGTGTTTGAACAAGATGGTTCCTGCCTTTGTATTTTAGTTTCTCAAAATTTAAAAGTTCTCAATTATTTACCAGAAGAGGGTAGAAGTTCTGAGACACTACCAAAAACTTTTGGTCTGTAAGGGAAATACCTGTATATGTATGTGGTGTCTAGTGCTTTTTTTTTAAATTTATGTTAGGAAAACTGGTATTATCAAAGTTGAAACTTTCCCTTCATTCACATCTTAGAAATGAGCATGTACATTAGTTTTTATTTTGTTTCCTTGTGGACGCTTTGCTGGCTCACTACCCTTTTTTGGAGCCTCCCTCCCAGAAAATTTGTATCGTCTGCTTTTGGGAACTGTGCCTTCATTATGGTTTTCAAAGTCTTCAGTAGTAGGATACAGCTCTTGGGCTACTTTTGCATTATTTGATTTATTTTAGAGATAGTAAATTGGCTGAGGCTGTTTCCAACCAGTAGGTTTATTTCCCCTAGAGTTTGTAAAAAGCCACTTGCACTGTTTGACAGGTGCCATCTTACATTTGATCACCTATCTCATTTTAAGAAGTTTAAGTAAATCTTTCAAAAATTGTGACTCTTTTTGTATGTTATCACTGAAATAGAGTTTATTGTCTGGTGCAGCTTCTTTGGTTCTCCTTCTGTAATGATTTTTTTGTGTGTTGGTCATTATTTAGCTCACCAGTGCTGTCAGAGAATCTCATGTAATGTCTTTTGCAAAAGTAATAATTGCTGTGTTCTTTCTTGCCTTTCTACTGCCCTGCAACATTTGGGGAACACCCTAGATCTGAATTCTGTTATTTTTCACAGGTTTTTTTTGTTAGGTTTTTAGAGATCAATTTGAGTGCTATTTAATATAGGCATCACCTCAAAAGTAGCAAAGTAGCTTGTTTATAGGTTGCAATGGCATGTGTGTTTTTCTCCACTTGAAACATCTGTAACTTAAAAGTGGCTATTCCTTGGGAAAACCATTAGGAGGGCAGGGCCAAACTGCCAAACATGCCATGATCCTGGAATGGATCATGCTGGAGTTTGTGTGAGATCATGTGTGCAGCTGGAAGTGCTAAAAGCAGATGCTGTGTAGCTCTTGTGCAAAATTCCTGGTAATTTATCAAGTTCCTAGTTCAGAGTGTGCAGTTCTGCTCTTGGACAGGGGTCAGTTTTTTCTTCTGTTCCCTGTTTCAGACTGCCAATGGAAATGTGGAAGCAAAGGTGGTGTGTTTCTACAGGAGGAGAGACATCTCAAGCACACTCATTGTGCTGGCAGACAAACATGCAAGTAAGTTGCTTTGTGTTCAAACGACATTGTATCTGCACAAAATTGTCAGACTTGGGGACAACTTTGATACTTCAAGTATCAGTATCTTAAATGTAGGGGGTTTTGTTTTGTTTTTCCTTTCCTTAAACCTTTTAATACCTTATTTGTGTATGGCTGAATTTTGGTGGGGACAAGACAGAAGTTTTCAGTTAGGGCTGAGTAAAGATGTCTTATTTGCTCCACAGAAATTAATTTTTTAATTTTTAGGGTGAGAGAAAGTATTTTCTCTGTTAATATAACTTCTCATGAATTATTTGGTTTGGTTTGTATATTAAAAAAACCCTCAAACATTATTTGAGTGAATCAAGTAGACTGATTATGGGAAAGCAACTTGAAACATGACCAGCTTGAAACTTGACTAACAGGATTTCTTTTAAATTTCAATATTAATAATATTTCTTGCAGTGACACAGCTTTTGTCTGAACATGCTCAATAAATACACTTTGAAAGCAGAGACTCTCCTATCACTATTTTGAGTACTTAAAGCCCTTTTGTTGGGAAGCAAGTGGAGTAACTAAACTTTTTCTTTTGTAAACAACAGACTATGTGAGGTGTAGCTGTTCAGATTGCTTAAAACTTAGCAAAAAATATGGACAGCCTTATGAATCCTTGCAATTCAGGGCACATCTATAAATGAGAGAGAAGCAATCAGATATGGGCATGTCAGAACTGTGATTTAGCTGGCAAGCATCACTGTCTTTTAGTGTGCTTCTTGATGTGTGTATCAATAGAGTGATCTGGGGATTGATTAAATCAGATACTCAGTTTTAGCAACGAGTATAATGGCTTGCTGTGTTCTCACTGCTTTAATGCCATTGGGGAAAAGATGCAGCAAAATGGGTCCCTTACTGATAAATTTGAGTATTTTCTGTTGTAGTGTGTCCAAATAATCCTTCCATTGCAGCCATACCATGGAAGGAGGTTGTGGTGTTGCAGGAGAGTTTGCTGTGTCATAGAACTGTGATGGCAGGCAAAGCCTTTTTGAAATCTCTTCAATGCAGCAGTGTTCATTTTATCTGAAGATCCTGAAGCTCAATAGGAGTTTCACCATAAACAACGTGGCTATTGATTCCTTCATCTGTGTCTCACTTCACTAGGTTTAGTAAAGGAAGCAGGTGGGAAGGATTCACAGAAACGCATATCCGAGACTGAAAACGAAAAATAATTTGAGCCTACATAAATGCTCTTTGAACCTGCAAATGCTGATTTCTCTTTGTGATAAGAAATCTAAGTGTTTGGTTTTTTAATACAAACAAATAATTCATTGTTCATATGTGTTGTTTGAAAGATGGGAAAATTCTTCTATAGCAAAATCCTATTAATAGAGCAACCAGAGACAACTGAGTCTGCCTCTTAGAGTAAATTTCATTAGTAACTAGTATTTTCTCCAGTATCTATTTTCTGGTGCAGAATAAAATTGCTACTGAATGACTTCTATTTATTTAGATAGATGTGCTGCTCTGTGGTTTCTGTTCTTCATATGAAGGGAGAAGAGAGCAAAATTAAGCTTTTTGGACAGCCATTAGTTCTTCACTCTGAAAAAAAAATCAACATCCTGCATGATATAATGAAATTAAATTTTGTAGATGTTAAGACTGTAGTACAGATATTGCATACTGTCACTGACTTTGAGTTCATTTCCATAAAGTCTCCTGTTGCCTCATTTTGATGCATTTGCAGTAGATGTACGTGTCTGCATCGCTGATCTTTTAACTGCCTTTGTTCAGCTGATTAATGGAGCTTTCTGACTGCAGACATTTCTGGATTCACACAGTCTTCTGTTTAAGATGCCTTTATTTTAGACCTACTGTTGAGATCAGTGCAGTGAGAGAGCTAAGCAATGGTGAGATACAGCCAGGGCATGAATGGAAAAATTGTATGGATATTTTGTTATTTTTTTACTCTTCCTGTAAAGGAAGGAAAAAGATGTAATTGTGAAATTAATGTTTTGAAGTTTTTAAAAAAATAAATAAAAATCCACTTTAGCTTGGATGATCCATCAGATACCTGAAACAGATAAGTCTGAAATATTGTCTGTTCTCATAAGTCTGTATACAGAAAATGTGTTGGAAGTGCCTTATTCTGTAGTTGGGGACTATATATTGGTACCTGATGTATGTAACCTGATTCTTGGATTTAATCTGTGATCATCTTATTTTTATCATATGATGTAAAGCTTGTCTAGGCCGTCCTATAAACCTTTCAGCCTTATGATGTCTTCCATGCATTGCTAGTGCTTTTTATTCATAAGCCTCTTTAATCACATCACAGATAATTCTAGGGAATTTCTCCAACTGTTTCTGAAATGAACTTGCTTTTCTAGTAAGACACCATTTTAAGTTCTTGCTGAGAGACTTAGAAAACAAGATTGCAGACAGGACTTGATGGAAGAAGAATGTGAAAGATACTTCACTCCTCATTCTATTGCTGGGTGTTGTCACTATATATTTTCTTTATATAATGTTTTAACACATTTTTTTATAATTATTTAAATATTTGTAGCCATGACTGCATGTCTACCAGTGGTTAGTGGTTGGAGAACTGACATAGTGCTGTCTGGATTGGCAGATTTATGGTTGGTTTCCAGCAGGTGCTCTCTGGCACACATGACAGCTTGGTTTTGTAAGTGCCAAAGCTTCTGAAAATAAATGTTTGCATGATACCTCTGTGCCTAAACAGGTAGGAAATTTGTTGAGAGTTCTTTTTACATTTTAAATAATACCAATCTAAATGAAGTTTGACAATAGCTTCATGAATTAACTCTTTTTATTTCTTCTATTTTATTCTCGTTCTCTATTTTTCTCCTAGCCCCACACATGCAGATTTAAGAGGAGTCCAATTCATATATCTACTAATGACACCTTGGCTCAGTTGTGGCTGAGAGGAGGGAACTGTGTTTTTTCCCTTTGGGAGTGGTGCAGAGAGGGAAGATATAGGTGTCCAAAATAGTGTCTGTTTGCTACCTGAAACTGTGGCCATGGCTGCAAGAGATGACTACCAGGACTTTGTGGCAGGGGATCCACACTGATAATGTGGCAAACTCCTTCTTAAGTGTCAAGGTGTAAGGATTCCTGCCTGTTAAAACATTCTCCGTGTTTTCTGCAGTTATGAGTCAATGTCTGGTTTTTGGTAGAGAAAACGGGAATAAGGCTACCACTTAATAAAAACCACTTGAAACTCAACCTGGAAGAAGGAACCTGGTGTTGTATTTTTCTTTAATTTATTCAAATGCAACATTTCTAGAATGTTCCTCCAAGGTCCTTAGTTAAGCTGTTAAAGCAGCCAGAGTTGCAGCTTCCTTTGCTGCTGAAGGAGCTGTTGTGCAGGTCAGTAGCACTGGTTTTACTGTGTTTCCCAATGATCTGACCTCACTTTTTCTTTTTTCCTTACATTATTTTGTTAGCTATAACCATACTAACTAATTCTTCTGTTACTGCAAACTGTTTCTCAAGCTGGTAAACCTTGGCTGCTCTCTATACCTGATTTCCGTGTCTTGTTTACCTTTGTGCATTTCTGAAATCTGTCATGTAACTACTTGTATGACACCCATAATGCAGAGGAAGGGCTGCTGCTTTCTGCTTTTGATGCTCTGGAGAGCCCGATCTGATCTATAGCAAATTGCTATTCTTTCTTGTATCTAGCAAATATTGATGTTTAATTTCACATCTCACACACCTAGTCATTTTAAATTACAATTACTGCCTCTTGGGTTTCTCCTGCCAACTCAAAGTTTACTCTTTCTAATTGTTTTCCCCATATATGTTATCTTTCACACAAATCTTGCTGTTTGTGCCTAATCTGCCTATCTCTTGTTCCCAATATAAGTAATCTTCAAGCTTTGTTAATGTGCTATTAATGATTCTGCCATTAAATATCAAATACTTAATCTAATACACTTCTTGCAGCATTCCACTGGCTACTGCTGCATAGCTGATATATTACTGTTTGTATTAAGGTTAAATGTTTAGTTTCAAATCTGCACAGGCACATCTATCAAGCAGAAAGATTAATTTTGAAGTAAGGCTTTATGAGAGCACTGAAGACCCAATGTACTGCACCTCCTGTATTCCCATACCACTTATTCCACAGTACTGTAAAAAGTGCAGGCAAGTCTTTCTGAAAAGATTTCTTGGATATTTTATAAATACATGTTTCTATCTTTTTAAAACCAATAGAAATGTCTGGTTTTTAGAAGAAATGTGTTGTGCTTTTTTGTTTTGAGAGGCTGTTCATAGCAGAGCTGCCATAAGAACACGTGTGCTCTCCACCTTCTGTATTTTACTACAAAAGCAAGACACATAAATAAAATACTACTTGGAAGGTGAGCCTACCTGAAGGAGTGCAGTCCCTGGGATTAGTTTGGTTGTGCTTTCATTTTGTCTGTAGATTTCATTGGCACAAAGGGGTTGACATACTTTTTAGAAAAATGTAATTTCTAAAAGCTGTAGGCTATCAAATATACTGAAGATACAAACTATTTTAGGTTGCTCCTTGTAGTATTTTTCCTGCATTACACAGTGCACTACAGTAATTTCTAAAAGCGGCTGTAAGTGCAGGCATTAATTCCCTTTTCCTTTGTGCATACTTCAGTTTTCAGGCAAATGAGTTTAGAACTTGCTGGATTGTTCGTGTATTGCTGCTGGTATATTTACAGTGTAGGATAGCAGTCACAATATTAATTTTCAACTAAAACAGAACCCACTTTAGTAAATAAATTGCAGACCCTTGAGAGTGTGCAACAAATGTAAATTTGGTGTTCTAGTTCCCAGGAAAATACTAAAACCTAAGTGCATGCTGCTGTATGGTTACCAGCTCATGTGGTGTAGCAGCTATTGTATGTTGAAGTCTGGTTTAATTATGCTGCTTTTTTTTTCCTTCCTTGCTGGAGCTGAGTACCTGATGGGCAAATAAGCTGCAGGTCTTTTTTTCAGGGCAGTAAAATGGTGATAAATTGTGGGCAACCTGAAGGGTACATAATTTTTTGTAATTGCCTTTGGTGTAATGGTGGCCTATTTAAAACTAGATGGAATTTTAGTGTTTTATAAAATGGAGATTTTTTTTCTGCTTTATTTTTGGGATAACTATGGGGATTTTAGTTAACTAATCTTAAGGGTATATAAATCATAACTGTGCCTGTATGTGTTTCTCACTAGAAATGTTTTTTGGCAACAACTGTTGAATTAAGCTGGAGGCATAAGTCTGCTGTTTGAGAGTAATGCTGCTGTAAAATTAAGAATTTTACAATTCATGCATGAGGCTTTACAGCTCATTCTACTACAGTCTGGGAAACTTTGCCTGTGGTTTTGCAAAACACAAGTAACGGCATTAATTTCTCAGAGAAGGGAAAAGTGTGATCTCTTTTTTCTCAGTCATTTGTCATGGAGGATCTTTGGAGTTATTTCCTTTGAGTATTTTGCCTTTTACAGATTTAGCTGGCGTAAGTGGCAGGATACTTCCCAACAAACACAAAACATACAATTTATTTCTAAAAGAAAGATGCTTGTAGATGTTTCGGATCAGTTGCATGTCAGTGTGGGTGGGATTTATGTATTTACTTTGGTGTATGTTTGGGATCTGGTTGGATGGAGATTGGATAGCTCCAAGGCAGAGGTGGGGAATCTTGGCTGCTGCAGTTGGGTGTGTGTGGTGTGGGTTGGGTAATGAGGGTAGCAGGAGTGGCCTCAGGCACTTGGTTACATTCCAGTTCATCTTGTGGCTGTGGTTGGGGTGAGGAGAGTACAAAATTACACTAAGTAAATAAACTGCCCTTTCCAGTGGGCATTTCCTGCAGAACCTGTTAAAAACTGGCATGGGACAGTGTGATGTCCTGAAAGAGGAATAGGGCTTATGATAACTGGTACCTGGAAAAAGAGGAAAGACTTCACTTTGCCTCACTCATCATGTGTCAGCTTCTTTCAAATGAATCTGATGCACTGCTGGTCTCCAAAAGCAGCTCTCCCTCCCTCTCTCTCTCTCTCTTTCTCTCCAGAACTTCTCTGTTGGTAGCAGATTTGTGTGACTTTCAGCTTGGTGTGACCTGTGTGTGCCTGAGGTGATTTGATGGTGGTGGTGGATAAATAAAATTCTTCACAGGCATAACTTCAAGGGTCTGTACCGATTATTTAACTGTTCAGTTGGCTGAAATGTTACATTGAATCTGATTAAAGTTTGTAATTTAGCAAAGGTTTTGGAGCAGGTCATTCTGACTGGCTTAAAGTCAATCTTGTTGTTGATCAATTTTGTCTCTTTATGACTAGGAGAAATGGAAGAAGAGATGGAAAATCCAGAAATGGTTGATTTACCAGAGAAACAGAAGCATCAGCTGCGACATCGTGAGTTGTTTCTCTCACGACAGCTGGAGTCTCTGCCAGCCACGCACATCAGGTAATGACTGTTTTCTTCCATTTTATTAAAACATCACACAACACTTATTTTTCAAGTACACTTCAGTGTTAAGATCAACTTCTGTGTAAAACTTTAGTAATACCATCTTGTGAATCACATGAGTATTTAAGATTTTTTTTTTCATGAAACATGTTTCTCTTTTTTTAGAGGGAAATGCAGCGTTACTCTGTTAAATGAGACAGAATCCCTTAAATCGTATCTGGAACGGGAGGTAGGAACCATTTTGTGCATTGTAAAGTTTGAACAGTTTATTCTGGCACAATTTAGGTTTGGTGCCTATTTGCAAGTTTTCTAAGAGTTCTTTCATTTCTGCATGTACTGGGCATTGACAGTGGGAAGCTTTAGGCTCTGTACAATCTTCATTGTGCATAAAACTATGGGTCTGGGGCCACACCTTGTGTTTATGTTCCTGTGTCATAGTGAGCTGCCTCTCCTTCTGTAAAGGGAACCCAGCTTCCTCATCAGTGTGGCAGGGCTGAGAGTTCCAGCCTGGAGGCTGATGCCCTTGGAGATGCAGTAACTGTAGAGGAGACAGCAAGCCAGCAAGCTGTGATTCTCTATATTTGCTTTATCCTGAAATCGTACAGTTTTATCTTAATATGGTTTAAGCTTGATCTTGCCTCAGATTTTCGAGGAGCTTAGTTCCCTGTTCTTTGAGTTCACTGGTCAAAATACTTATCTGGAGTCCTTCATGTGCCACCACTGACACTTAAATCCTTGAAAAACTGCTTGTCAGGTGACATGTGACAGAAATTTACCCAGTGTCTCTCTTTAAAGGTATCTCAGACCAAACACTTGAAACTGAATTGTCTTGCACAGTTAAGCACCATTCAGAATAAAAATATTGGGCTTTACTTTTTCAGGTATTTTGTGATTTTAAAAAAATTGCTATTGTATTTTTTTAAAGTTGTATTTCTATACCTTTAATTGTGGCTAGACCTCTGGCTGCCATCTAGGTTAGACAGTCTTGAAGTCTGACAATCTGAGAGATTTACTGTGGAGATCAGCAAAGAACTTCAGGATATTATTATATTAACACATCTGCAAGCAAATAATTTGCATTTGAAGACATTGAAATGTTATACAAGAGAGGAAAACTTGTAATTAAAAACAGTAGGATGATGGGCATTACTGGCCCTTAAGAAATGAGAAAACAGGCCATTTTTGCAAGGAGCATATTGCAGTCTCTCTCATAGCTGGGCTTTCTTTTTAAATGTTTTTGTAGCTTTCTTCAGTATTTATTTAAGCATAAGATTAGTTTTCATCTGATACTTTAGTTTAAGAGAATTTTAAACAAAGCATGGGGATTAAATAGTTGAGAATTTCTTTGGAATGTGAAACCAAAAAATGTCGGCTCTGCTGAAGGCTGCCAAATGGCAAAGCATTAAACAAGGGACGTAGTATTCAGCAGTGCTTGTAGCCAGCTAGCAGCCCAGGATATGCCAATTTAAAAGCACCAGTTAAACTGAAATGACTTCAGATTTTCTAGTACCCAGCTCTCAGGTAGTGTTTTTTCTCAGTTGCTCCCAACATATTTTTATTATCATTGGTGTTACAGGTAGATGTGCTGAGACTGAAGGGAGATGCTTTCCTCTGATCATGCAATGCTCAGTTGCAGATGTAGGCACAGAAAGAGGATTTTTTTCCCATCCTTTTGAACTTTCAAAATGCAAGATGAGTGATGTGGGTTATTTTTAGAACTGAGCAGGCACTTAGAGATTTCACAGAATGAGAGAGTTCCCTGAATGTGTCCTGTCACTTAGCATGGCATTTTGCTGTGGTGCAAACTAACTTGGACAGATGGTAAAGAAATTAAAAGCTCAGGAACACAAATATGCTTGGGTGGAGGGTAAAGAGATTAAGAAAAGGAGATAGTTTTTGCCCCATGGTTTCCTAACACTGGCTGGTATTGTTTTGAATTGTTTCTTCTTTCCCATGCCTCCTGTTCTTAATCCATCCTTTACTTTCAAAATGTTTCAGGGTAGTTCCTTTTTTTCTAAAATTACTTCTGTCAATAAAGCCTAAGCAGTTCTAGGAAACCTAGTATTTGATTTCCTAAATGTTGTGACCAGTAAAAGTCAGCTTTCAGCTCAAGGCTGTCTGCCTTGAAGCAGTTTAAACATCAGACAGAATTTTTTAGGGAGATAGTAAGCATAGCAAAATTACATTTTTGCTATCTCTGTTCTCCTCCACCCTCTCTCTGTCATCTTCCTCGGGAAGATTGCCTTGCATGTTTGGAAAGCAGGCTGAAGGGGACCAGCACTGACTCTTTAACTGTGCCTGTAAAATTGGGTTTGTAGCAGGAGGGAGGAATAGCAGGAAAGAGAGGGGGGAAAAAAGCAACTGGAAAACCTGAATTTTCTATAGACACCTAATTCCCATGGAGATCATAGCCAATTATGGCAAAAGCACTAGATTTCCCTATTCTGCAGGAAACTGTTTTGAATGTAGGTCTGTTTTACTGCTCTGCCTGGCTATATCCAGAGGTTTGTGTGAATTTGCCTGCTGAGCAGATGTCTGGAATATCTGTTCCTTTTGGTAGCCCCCTAAAAATAAAATGTTCTCTAGTTAAAATATATCAAATACATGAAAGTAGGTTTGCAAGATGCAACGAAATAACCATTGGTGGAGTAACATGTAGTGTAATTTCATTTTTCTTTCTCCAGTTTCTTGGTGACTTTGGTTCTTGGCTATAGCTATGGGTGGTTTAGGGGCTTGAGTAGGGGAGCTCTGAGCAGATATGTCTCTAACAGTTGAGAGAAGCAGAAAGTCATGATTCAATTTTAACTCTTGGCAGGTCATGTTAATTTTTTCTGAATATGTTGGGTGTCTTCTGGGATCTGAAATGAAAAGAGAAAACCCTTCTCTTTTTTGACTGCTGCAAACCCAGCATACACAGTTTGACAGCACAAATTAGTGTGGAGGATTCTGAAGAGCAGTGTTATTTTGTTGTGAGCATCACTCTTGTGAAACCTTTGTGAAAAATTGTTCTCATCACATAGTGGTGGTCAGGAGTTCACACGTGCTTTAGAGTACACAAGGATCTGGTTTGTTTCTTAGTTTGCATTGGCACTAAGCTGACGTGTGTTAATGTTTTCAGCAGACCCACTCAGTCTGCAAGAATGAATCTCATGTCTTTGAGGGAAGATGGCAGTGGTATTGAATTACCTCTAGGGGTTGCAATCTCTGTTGGATTCACACTTGGTCCCCCAGACTTCATCTCTCCTGTGTTGAGGAGGCTCTGGATGGGGAGAAGAGACCAGAGGATTTTCATCCTTCTGTTCAACCTGATTGATTTGAGACAAACCTGGACAAGACTTAAATTGACCTGACACTAATAGAGATTTTGTAGAGAAAATTCATAATGATAACCAATAAAAGAAAAGCAATAGGGCATCTAACAGTCAGATATCATGGGAGAAACCTCCTCCTTAATGTATGACTTCCCCTGGCCAAAAAAGACCAAAGAAATTGTCTGTGGAATTGGTCTTCTTTGGGGCCCACTGTGTTGTTACACTGCAGTGTGTTGCATATTTGCTGGGCAACATGCCTGCAAAGCATTAATGTTGCACTGCATATACATTGTCCTGCACTCAGCTATTTAGGAGCTGGAACAAATTAAACATTGTATTTATAACCTGGAAGCCTGTGAGACAAAAGCTTTCCCTACGTTTTATTTCCACAGTGATACATTCTCAAAATATTGCAATATCTTGAGCTTTGAGTGTGTCAGGAAGCAGGAGACCCAGATTTCTTTACATAGATGTGATATAAATGAGTTTTCATGTGCTCTGAAGCTGCCTTCTGCCCGTAAGTTGATATAACTTGACCCTGGTGTCTGTGGCAGTAGGAATTTTTTCAAAAGTATCATTTGCTTAGGATGCAGTCAAATCCTCTGACCCCAAAACCAACTACAGGCAACCCTTCCAGTTGAAGTTCAGTTGTCTTCCAGAATTTTTGCTATGTTACTGTGGAAACTTACTGTAATTCTTCTTTTTCTGGGGCTTTGCATGACAGATTGGGTTACTCTCTTTTCCTTTGCCACCTCTTCATAAAGCTGATCAGGGCTTGAAACTCATGGTGGTTTTGTCCTAATTTTTGTTGCATGCTGTTGACATGTACAAATATAGGGAAAGGGAAAAATGAGGTGAGCATGAAATGAGATGTATTTAAACAGGGTGCCTGCTAATGCCACAAAAATAAGGGGAGTGAAAAAACAAGCCAGAAACCTGAGATGTGGAAAATGGCATGCTGTACATCCTGTTTCTGTTCAGACAATTCTTCTGGTGACCATGTTGCTGTGGACAGAGGTTACAAAAGGTCTGTTGTTCCCTGTCCTTCCAGAGCGTTAATCCTGCCCAGAACTGCACACTATACTTTGATGGAGCATACCTGGTCCATAGCTATAGCTAAGTACTTATCCATGCAGAAAAGTTTAATTACTTAAAGTTTTAGGTAGTTAAAAATGTTGGCTGTTTCCTTTCTCTGCCCTGGCAGAACATTCTCATTCTGGAATGCCTTCTTGCTTTAATTTTACACACCAAGGTAGCAGAAGCCAAGCAGCTATTTTAGCCTTTTCCACATCTACTTGAATAAAAGCAACAAATTAATGGATTGCCACCTGCAGCTAATTACTGCTGCTGCCAAATCTGCTGCCCCTCTCCTAATAACAAGCAGAAAGAAATGTGGTGGTTTAAGCTTAGATGATAGCAGGCAAGAAATTGGTCAGCAACACATCCCTGTGACAAGGAAAGCAGTGTGCATCCTGGTCTGTATTAGCAGGAGTGTAAGCAGCAGATGGAGGGAAGGGGTTCATCCCCTCACTTCATCCCTTGAGAGACCACTTGTGTAGGTTTTTGTCCAGCTTTGGGACTTGCAGCATGAGAGACATTGACAGGTTGGAGCAAGCCCAGCAGAGGCTGCAGGCTTTGTCTAGGGCTTCACACCTCTGTGGGGTTGCATTGGTCTGGCTGTATCACTCTGTTATGCTTTAATTTGTGCTGGTATTTCTGTGTGGATGGGTCACTGATGTCTAATCCTCCTGGTTTGGAATATGGGAATTGCATGGGATGTGGCAATTTTGTGTTCTAAAACAGCTGATGTGACTAAAACTTATCTCCTGGTCCTTCTGAGCCTTGCCTGTGCAAGAGGAGCTTTGTTTGCTTCAGTTTGAGAGGCTGTATGTTGAGAGAGGCTGCTGTTGAGAGCTTACACTTGCAAAATAGAAGAAAGTGGCAGCACTTAAATGCAGTTTTTAAATGGGTGGTTCTTTTTTTCACCCAAATTTAAAATCTATATATAAGTAATGAAACCACACTTAAACTGTAAAAACTTGGTAGTATGGCAACAAAGATGAAAGTAAAAGCTAGTAACACTGTTTACCTTTTTGCTCTTGTTTTATTTTTAGGATTTCTTCTTTTATTCATTAGTGTATGATCCTCAACAAAAGACTCTGCTTGCTGATAAAGGAGAGATTCGAGTTGGAAACAGATACCAGGCAGATATAACAGACTTGCTAAAAGAGGGTAATTTCTGTAATTTATTTAAATTGTCAAGAGTTCATGATGAATGTGGCCACTTTTCTGTGTGAGGCCTGCCTAGGTGTGGGAGATGGTGTCCACTGCCAGGCCATGTGTGCAGCAGTGGCTGGGTTTGTTGAGGCTCTTGCCCACTGAAGGCAATTAGTTCTCTTGCAAACGGGTCTTTAAATGGGTGTTTGTCCAAACCATAAAAGTTGTTTAAATAAATTGAATTAATGGGCTCTCTTGGAGCTTGCACTCTTTTTATTAAGAGATTTTAGAATTTCCATGGGAAAGACAAATTTCCATCACATCTGTAAAGCCTTTTGTGTTTTTAATCAAGTCTCACTTCCCTATAAGAGCCCCTCCCAAATTACTGCCAATTAAATGCTGTCTGCCCTCATCAATTTGCCCATTACTGCTGGGTGCCTTTTCCTTGGAGCCCTCTCCCCATCCCAGTGTTGGCTGCCAGCCTAGACTTCTCACCTGCAGAAAGGCAGGAGGAAGAATTTGCTGGCTGGAGCGTGTGCTGAGACTTCAGCCTGCCCCCACCATGTCATGGAGCAGTGGGACCATGAGGACACTGGCCTGAGGACGAGGGAGAAGTAGCAGGAGCCAGGAATGTTTATCAGATAGTAACTAACTTTAGATTTGTCTCTGCACTACCCTGCAGATCCAAAAGCGGGTGGAAAAACAGAGAGATGAGGATTGTTGGCATCTAATTCTTCTTTCCTGAGCCCTGTATAATGCAGAGGGAAAGGCCTATCCATAAGCTTTCCCTAAGAGAGAGAGGGTTGTGACCTGTGTTGGGAAGACCACATCCAGTCTGGATGGGCCAAGATGTGGAAGCAATGAGATGCTTCTGCCTTTGCTTAGAAGCTCTGCTGACACTGTTAGTTTCATGTTAAAATAGGCAAAAGAAAGGGTCAGATTTCTTGTTTAATTTGTCTGTGAAACCAGTATTTATTCAACAGCTAGGCAAGTCTCCTAAGTGAGGATGAACTAATCTGAAAGGCATCCTGTTCCCTCAGTGGGCCAATATGGGGCTTCAGAGAAGGATAATTGCCAGATGTTTTAAAGGAAGCTGAAAGAAAAAAGAAGTCTCAGTAGCTCCTGTATTTTGCCAGGGTATTCTGGCTTATCTAGATTCAAGAAAAGAAGAGTGTCTGATGCCATGGTTCCCCCCACTAGAAAGCAGCTGAGGATAGGTTGAACCAGCTACTGTTTGCCTGCTCAGAGCAGCTTGGAGTGTGTCTGTTTTCTGGAACTGCTGCAAGATAAGGAATGAAAGCGATGAGCTGGGGAAAGAAGCTGAAAAGAAACTTTCTAGTTTGGAGAAAGATGCACTCTGTTTCCCGTGACATATCCTATGATATCAGTTTGTGAAAATCTGATTGTCCAGTTTGGATGAGCTGTGTTGCTGTGTCTGTCAAGCTAAAATAGTCACATACAAGTAAGTGAGTGAAATTTCTACAGTGGCCTGTTAGGCAGAGTGAGTGAGATGGGCTAACAGTAACATTATTGTGAGATAAAAAAAATAATCCAGAAAGTACTCATATTTTGAAAGATCTGTACTAAATACTTCTGATTTTTTTTTTCAACCAGGTGAGGATGATGGAAGAGATCAGTCAAAACTTGAAACAAAAGTTTGGGAAGCCTTTAACCCACTAGTAGACAAGCAGATAGACCAGTTCCTTGTGGTAGCAAGGTAAGAGCACCTCTCCTTTGAAGAAGTAAATGTTTGTAACTCTTCCAAGCACTTTCTCATATTCTTTTTTGTTTTATTAATGGGAGTTGCTTGATTCTGGTTGCTTGATTTACTTGCTCCATTTTAAGATGACGTACATGTTATATGCCTTTGTGGGAATAGCATGACTTCAGGAATAGCTCCTCAGATTTACAACTTGGTTTCATAAAAGCAAAGCAAGTTGCATGTGAAAATGATCCTGTAGTTGATAGGGTTTTTTGAATACTTTGGTCAGCATGCAGAAGACTTGGCAGTTCTTTGCTCTGTCCATTTACTGTTTTTTTCAAAACCAGTGACACTTTAACATCCATTAATGGTTTGCTAAGAATTCTGGTAAATGCTTATGATGGGCTGAGGATACTTTCTAATGCCTAGATTCCAAGAGGTAGGCACAATAAAAAAAACCCCTGCAGGTCTCTAATGATGTTGTTTTTATTTAAGCCCAAAGCAATCTTTGTTGATCAGCTCTTCCTTTATAAAAGGTTCTTGAACTAATTTGTTGGTATCCATTTCTATAAACAGAAGCCTGTATTGAATTTTAGACTCTCATAGCAATGGATGACTGAATAATTTAGGGGGAAAAAATACACAGTAACACTCTCCAAATTCTCTGTGTTTTAGGTAGTACTTTTATAGATTAATCCTGGCTCTGTCTGCCTTTTTTTTTTCCTTTCCCCTCTTGGGTTTTCACGTGGTTTGGTTTGTAATGACCATGGAGCTGCTTTGTGTTGGGAGTTTCCACCTTCTGGTGGCAGAGCTGGTTTTAGGGGTTCTTTCTGGCAGTTCAGTGCTGCCCACTGGGTTTGCTGCTGCAAGGTGCAGGCTGTAATGAGAATCACTGCAAAGATGAGTGCAAGAATTGCTTCTGTTCAGAATCAGCACAGCATTTATAATTAGTTCACACATACACAGTATGAGTTCAGCTAAAGCTGGGCACAGGGGAGTTGTGGGGCAGGGATGGGCATAGTGACTGGGAGGCTGGGAAGAGGGTGAGGTGTGAGTTGCCACAGACACTCTGATGGGAGAGGCCGGTTTTTGGCCAAAATTAGATATTTGGTGACAACTTCTCAAACATCTACTTTTCTTGGTCCTGCACTGCTTGGCACTAGTGTGTTCCTTTGTGCTCTCAGCTAGTTTGGGGAAGAGACCTCAGTGGAGGAGGAAAAACCCCAACCCGCCTATTTTGTTGTTGTAGTTGCTCAGAGGATGTTGCTCAGTTCCAGTTCAATGTGCAGGAGCACAAGTGTTTCACCCATGTCGTGTAGCAGGCAGGCAGGGGAGGAGGAAATTTGAGATCCAATGTTTGTTATAGGTTTCTCCAACTAATTTCTGTAGGAATAAGATGAAGAGCACGGGGCTTCTGGTCTCAGATGCAGAGATTGAGTTGTGAAGTATTTGACAATTACTGTGTTGTGGAGGCTTTATGGTATATATGTAGTACATTAATTTGTAAAATAATAGTTTCTAATTTTCTGAAACTTTTAGAAAAATACTTCCATTGCTGCATTTTTTGTGCCTGATCTTGCATCTGTCTCTGCACTGCTCTTTGCCATTGTGGAGACTTTTGTCATTCATAAAGCTTACTTGTGCTCTGCTCCTGTTGCAGCTCAAGTCTGTTGGGAGATAAGGGATAAGAGAAAAGCTCAAAACTCCCTGTTGGTGACCTGAGTCTTTCTCTGTATCTTCTGCTATGCCTAAACCTCTTCAGTCATATGAATTAAGTAAACTGTTCACAATGACAAACCACATTTGAAGAGAATGGTGTCTGGCTCAGAATGTGCACCAAACCATGTAATCCTGTAACTGGGAAATGGAGCCTGCTCATCTCAGAAAGTGTTGGCTGGGTGTTTATATTTATGCTGGGTTTGCATGCGAAGTTAACGCTGCGTTTAATTTCTTTCAGGTCTGTTGGTACGTTTGCCCGAGCCCTGGATTGCAGTAGTTCTGTCAGACAGCCAAGTTTGCACATGAGTGCTGCAGCAGCCTCCAGGGACATCACACTGGTAAGATTTTCTTTAGAGGACCTTATCTTTAGAAGACCTTAAGTTTGTGAGAGATGCAAAATATTCACCTCAGCATTAATAGTTGGCAAAGAGAGAGAGACAGATGGGTTGTAGTTGTGGCTTGCTGTGAAGCAGACCCTGCCTTTGTAAAGGAATCCTTTAGTTACAGATGAAGTAACTTTTTCTGGCCTTGTGCCTCTTATGATCCATCATGGATAATACTATGAGGCTTTTTTTTTTTTTGCTTAGTTTTATTAAAATATTCTGATGACATGCTTGACAGCTCATCCCTTGCATGGGCTCAGTAGCTGACTTGAGAAGAAGGCAAATTACTGTCTGCCTGTCTGTAATGTTACAATGCCAGAATGCCATTCTTCATCACTTCCCTGACACCAGACTGTCCCAGGCATCCTTGGGCGAGATTGACCAAGGATGTCTGGGGGAAAAGCTTGTGGTCAGATAAGAAATGTCAGTTGATGCTGTTCTCTTTGATTACTTCAGTTTAGATTACCTGAGGAGTTAACATTTCATAATCATAAATGTTGCTGAGTCAATCGAGGAAAGGGAAAAACCTTGAACTTCTATGTTACAGAAAGTTTAATGAAAATTTGAGTAAAATATATGAAGTGTCCAGAGAACTGTTATCAAACTCACCTCATTCCTGGAGTAATGTAAACTTATATGTAGAGCAAATTCTGGTCTAGAACAGTGTAGGTTAATTATGCACATGCACAAAACTGGTATGATGAAAGGCAAATAACATCCTGATTAAAACTGCAGAAACAGGGTAATAAAGCCAAGCTTTCATTTACTAATAGCAATTCCTCCCTCGCAGCATGTCCTCAGTCCTTATAAATCACAAGTTGCAGACAGCTGTAGCTTGGCTTTCTGAGGAGTATTTGCCCCTGAGAGTCATTCTTTTTTCCTTTTCAGCTGTGATGTGTGACTTAACTTGAATCTTTGTTGAGGTTTCTGCCCTTTGAGGGGGAATGTATACATGTGTTGCTGCTCTTGTTTTTCATATATTAAATTTTTGTGGGTTATTTGACAAAGAAAATGCATGGCTATGTCTGTGAGGAAACGCCCTTGGACCTCTTATCTCCATGCCCCATCTGGGGATGGTAGCTCAGTCCTGGGGGAAGTGGATCTATCCTCTGCATCTTTTTACCACCAGTGCTGCAGGGGTGGTGCTGGTGAGGAGCTGATAGGAATAATTGACACACAAGAGCTTGTGTTCCACAAACCTCACTATTAGTGAATGTTAGGTTTGTACACTGACAGCTACAGTCAGGGTGAGGTTGGAACCAGCTTTTACTGACTTTTCCTTAGGTAAAGAATGCCACACCTTCCCATCTCAGTGCAGAATTTGTCATTGCTGTTTCACCATTGAACATTTTTCCCCCCAGATACTTGTCCTTACATTTCTTTCTCCTTTCCAACCCTCTAGTTCCATGCTATGGACACTTTGCACAAAAATGTCTATGACATTTCCAAGGCAATCTCTGCACTTGTGCCACAAGGTGGGCCAGTCTTGTGCAGAGATGAGATGGAGGAGTGGTCTGCTTCAGAGGCAAACCTCTTCGAGGAAGCACTAGAAAAATATGGAAAAGATTTCACTGACATTCAGCAAGATTTTGTAAGTATATAAAAATGGGCCTCCGTGATGACGGGCTCTGGTGACAGAGCTGGCTTGCAGCTTGTCTAAACTGTGTTTTTCATTGTGTTGAGCAAGGAGGCTTTGAACTGGAGTGTGTTTCTTGCTGTAAAGTGGGGAAAGGCAGACCTCATACTGGTGACAACCTGGTGTACAGTCAGAATTTCAAATCACAGACAATAGTTTTTCCTGTAGAAACATTAATTTAGGATCATCTGTTCCCCTACAGCTGGGGGAGGATGTAGGAAACTGTTGGGATAGCCAAGCTGCTCTAGAGTAATTTGTATTTGAAGGAGAATGAGTATTTGGCCTTCTGAAGCATGAAAATGTAGTCACCTTTACAGTGTGGTTTCAGAAAGGGCCTTTTGGTAGTTTTCAAAAGGAATCCTGGGCATCCAAGGGAATTGTCCTGTAGTTTGGCCAAAGCACTGCCCTAGGTGCTGAGCATGCAGATTGAATGGAGCACTGTAAGGAGAGCCAAATTTCACTGTGTTGTTGTTCAAATCCTCTGGAACAAAACAAGTAGTTTCAGTGTTGTTTGTCCTGTAGTCTAATCTCTTAGATGGACTTGGAAACAGCAACAATTCTCTGTGGTCCTGCTGAAATCCTCATGCTTTTCACACAGAGAACAGAGCTGACAGGGCACGATTGTGTTAGTAGTTTGTTTTGGTTTGTTTTTTTATTTTAATGGGCCAGCTCCATTGAAGCCAGGCATATCAGAAGTGTGATACTGTAGTTGTGACTCTTGCTTCTACTGCTGCTGAAGCAGAGTCTGAGCCTGTGGGCTTCCTTCCACATTGTGCCTCTCTGGAATATTTTCCTGTGAGCCAGTGCAGCATGAAGATTTACCTGCAGCCTGTTCCACTTTTACATTGAAAGCTCAGAGTATTTTGAAAGGATGTTTAATTTAATGTAGGTCCCATGTGCATCTAATCCTCTTTGTAGATTCAGACTGTCTTTTTTTTTGAGGAGGGCTAGTAGTTGCAAGACTGCTGCAACCATCAGTCAGAAGAATCCTGTGAATTTCAGTGAGACTGTGTGCCAGCTCCCTTCAATAAATGCTGCTTTTCCTTTGTGTCCCCAGCTCCCATGGAAGTCCTTAACAAGCATTATAGAATATTACTATATGTGGAAAACTACAGACAGATACGTTCAGCAGGTAAGAGAGTCAGAATCATCTCCTTCATTTTAACAGAAGTTGTTTTTCTTGCCTGTGAAACCAAGCTTTGTGTCTCTGTTCTCCCTCTTGGGGTTCAGCCTTGCCAGTAGGTGAGTTCTGTTGTGATCAGAACAATCTTTTGTCCCTAAACTCATCAGCCCTTCTGTAGATACAAACAGCATTGGCAAGAGCGCATTCTTTTCATGTTTGCTGCTACCCTGTTTGCTCAGAGCTTTCTAATGTCTGGTTTGGAGTTCAGCAGAGGAAGGATGGCAGGGCAGTTGCTTTTTGACTATGGAGTTCAAGGTCAGTGTTCCCTTCAGTGACTTTTTGGGGGGACAGTTGCTGTGCAGGAGGCCTCACCTAATTCCCCAGCACTGCTGCCCATGACTTGGATGGCAGATGCAGAAGGCTGCACCATGTAAGCTCTGTGAGTGAAGTGTTTACCTGGGAAGTGTCACTGGCTCAAATTCCCAGACTTGTTATACTTGAGAATCAACTTTTGAGTAGTGTTTACAATAATTTTTATCTCTGCTTGTTTAAATACAAGGGCTGACTGTTCCCTGAAATAAAGCAAGCACAATGCAAGCAGCATGCAAATTCTTGCAAAGTATCAGTTGCGGAAAACTACTCACACTATTTAACAGGAAAACCGAGTAAAAGAAGGGAGAAATTTAAATGTGTTTTTCATTATAATTATCAGTCCTAAGATGTGACATCTAGCTGAAGTATTAGAAAAAGTGGAGTTGTGGCAATGTCCTGCCTCAACTTGTTTCCTTGGAAATTCAGCCTGGGGTAAAGACTAGGTGCCTGAAGCATTGACCAATGTTTGCCATGTACTGTAATGTTATTTTTACCATTTTCTTTCTGGTTGGTGCTCTGTTGAAATTATAGAGGCACCCTCATGACAAATGAGAACTCTTTTTTGCATCAATTATATTTTACTTTTAATAAAAGTATTAGTGGCATCCTCATTCTACTATTTCCCCAAGTTCATTCTTTGACTGAAACTTTTAATTCCAGTTAGGAAGTGGGTGGTAGACATGTGTGATGGCAATGGAAGCTGGCGTGGTGGGGAAGAATAATGCTTATGATTTTTTCTTCCCCATTGCTTTCTCCATTTTCCTAAAGTTTGTTTTTGCATAGGCAGAATTGCAGAGGAGATAATTATGTGAAGACTTAAATTATTTGTCCTTGCGGCAGTTAAAAAACACACTAAGCCTAAAGCTTCTTACACTGGTTTGTTCTGTTCTGTGCATTGGGTTTTTTCCTCATGGTTATGCTGTACCTTATATGTGCTGCCCAGGACTTTACCAGGGTGTAGGATTTTAGGAAAACTTTCACTTGGAGATTCTGCAATTAGAGGACAGTGTAAGCTGAACAGGGAGAAGTTGCAGTGCAGAGATACTACATCAATTAGGTCTGAACTGAGCTGAAGACTTCATTTCAAATTCCCAGCTTGTACAAGCAAATAATACCATGAAATATTTATAAAAAGCTTGAGAGAGCTATCTATATGTAACCACAAAGAGAAAGCATAGGAAATTGTAGTTCAAATAATGGTGTATTACATTTATATTTTACTTGATGAGTGCGGTGTCTTTGACAAAGTACATCTGTTGCCATTTTTCCATCTGTTTCTTCATAGTGTTTGTTCTGTGCAGACTCTTCCCTTGGTCTAATACCACAAAATTATTCTGGGGCTGACAGCATTTTTGTACATAAGGTATTGCAAGTATACCAAGTAAGGATATGCAAAGCGTGTACCTTGAGTTTTTGCACTTCCACTTCCCTCTTTCCAAGAACATGATTAAATTATATTCCAAGTCTGTATTTTACAGGATTTAATAAAAGTATTAATAACTTGCTTATTTTTGTAAAATCTTTGGTTGAATGAACATTAAAAGTTCATTTAAATTGTCTATTTCTGTGAGTGACAAAACATAGGAATGAAGATTTGTGTCACCAACCAATTGCCTGCTTGGATGAAGAAGCAAGAGTTAGTTGGGAGCTGTTTGCATCCTTCTGGATTTCTGTATTTCCCTTGACGTTTTCTTGGCATGAGGGAATACTGCCATAATACTGAATCAGAATCTCTCTGTTTCTTGCCATTGAGGAAGGGACATTTTGAGTTGCCTTTGACAGAAGGCCTGTTCTGAGGACTGAACAGTAGCTTGTACTCATGCTTGGTGTACCTGAGATCAGAAGTCTCAGTGCAGCACTGACTTGTCTTGTGAGTAGGACACTGAGATGGAGATGTCTTCAAATTGGCTTCTTTTGCAGCATGCACTTGGATCACTTATCCAGTAATTTTTATTTGGCTTTAGCTAAACCATGCTTTTGAAGATTACCAGCATAAGTAGGAATTCAGTCATCTGGAGAAGGACTGACCCTCCAAGAACAGAACTGCTAGAAGGACTAATTCTACAACACAGAACTGGTGTTTTAGTACAGGATCCTGTCCATAGTGATTCCAGGATCTGTCCTGTCAATAACAACCTTTCAGAACTTCCTGAACAAAATGAGGGTGATGCATTCCAAATTCAGTATCCTGGGTCTCCTTTGAACATGTTCTTTTCCTGGGACAGATTTCCTGTGTCAGTACACAAGAGTGTCTGTTTCTGATTAAGGAAGGTTTGAAATGTCTTTGACTGATTGACAGCTGTTTGTTGGCTTCTCTCAGTGATTTGAGAGCTCTGAGGGTTGATGTGGTGTTTGGCTATACCTACATTTTCATCTGGTTAGAGGTTGAGTTCTTACATAGTTGTGAATTCCAGGGTGATTTTTTTTTAAAGACTAAATGCTTCTACTGTTGTGCTTATCATTAGGGGAAGTCCTGAAAACTTTAAAACATTAAACTTTCCATAGGTTTAGACATGCTTGAGACATGGCAGTGGCAGATGACTGTTTAAATTAGTCACATTCCTTCTGAGAGTTAAAGGCTTTAATGTACTTTTCACATTTTTATTTGTTTCTGAGGAGCAGGTAACTTCAAGGGGAAGATCAAATACTATCAATTTCTACTGTTTTATTTTTTATATGGAAGTGGCATTAGAGAAGTATAGGAGGAATAAACACTGAAAGTTGGTTTTAAGGTCTTTATGGTGAGAACATGCTGGGGAAAGTGGAAATGCCCTTACATTTGACTCCATGAAGTTGGGATCTCTGGGTTCAGCTAGAAAACATCTTTCTGAACGGGGGTAAGCCTGCTTTGTACATAGTCCAGAGCTGTGAGTGATGTCTTAATATACCAGCCTTCATAAAGTCCTGTGTGCTGAAGTGTAGAAATAACATAAGTGATAGGTTTTTCCATGTTTATGGGATGTATTATCCCCAAACACCTCCTGTTAAATGTATGGTAATATGGAACTCAGTCACTTCCTTGCCAGAACTGCCAGAGACCATAGGTAGAACCCGTCCACTCTGAGTTGTGTTGCTGGAGCACAAGCAGTTGGGAGCATTTCTCCCAAATGCATCACAGACTAATTCCCTATTCTGTCCCACCTCCCTGACCTCTGTTGTGTGCTCAACACTTGTATGCTCCGAGGTTTGAAAAAAGAATAAACAATGTGAAAGTTCTCCTCTGAACGCAGAAGGTGTAATTTGTGTTTCCTATCATAAACTAATAAAAGCTTAATATTTGAGGATGTCTTAGGCATCCCCATGCGATCCACCAACCTAACTCTAGTGTTGTGGATGTTGAAATATCTAGTGTTCCTGGATTGCTTCTGTTATTTCCTCTTTATAAGTGTTCACTCGTTAGAAAATGACCACAAACATTTGCTCTGATATGTCACCTATTATCAAACTCTTTCAAGCTCAATGGGTAGGATATCAAATCTGACAGAGGATATATAAAAGACAGATGTTTGCACCAACTTGAATGTACAGTGCTTAGTATTTTAATCCATTGGTCCTGTGGGATAGATAAGTTGGTAGTATCTTCCTTTTATAGATGAGGAAAATATGATGTAAATAAGAGGATATACTTAAGATCTGTGTATATAAATAACTCAGAAAAAGATTTTTTAAGGCCAAACTACTAGGAAAAGTTACAGATGTTCTGGGTTTTTCTTGGGAGGGAGGACATTCATAATTACATAAGATAGCATTAAGAATTTATAGCATAAATATGCTTCAGGCACAGATCAATTAATAACTGACAAAGGACCTAGCAAAGCACTCTCTCAGGGAAGGGATTATTCTGAAATTGTGCACAACTGCATTTCAGGCACCTTTCTTTTGTACCTTCTGGGATCAGTCACTGTCAGGAAATAGGAAACACATCATATCTGGTCTATTGATTGCCCACAGCCACAGGTACTTGGTGCAAAGCCTCTTCTTACCCAGGACGTTGTGGTACCTTCTGGAAACCCTCAATTTTCCTGGTATGCTGTTTGTCATAGGGGTGTGTGCCTTTAGCTGTGTGCTGTGCTGCTCCCCAGGTAACTGTAGGAGAGGAGGGTGTTGTGAGGTCCAGGTGACTTAGGGCAGTTCTTAGCTCAGGGCTTGCTCCACAGTCATCAGTCACAAAGGAAATCTGTGGGATGATGTTAACATTCATCACCTGTTTACTAAAATACTGCTTAATACCCTAAATTAGCCACAAACCCAAGGCAAATGGCTTTATGTTGTGTACAGAAGGGTTGTTGTAGTTACTGGTAATATTTTGTGCTTGGATGAAGCTCTTGCATTCATACATTTCCAAAACTGTCATAACATAATGATGCCAGACAGTCCCCTTGGGAGGTGTTAAGAAGACTGCAGCTTTTTCCTCTCACAATCTAGAAACTTAAAAAACACTACAGTCCTCTATCAGTGTAAGTTTCCTGAATTTCCAGTCTCAAGGAAATTGGATTCTGGTACTGGTCATCAAGCGGTATTTTAAGCTGTTTGGCAGTGTCTTGGTGTTGGATTTCCATGTATTTCCTGGGGGCACTATGAGCTCTGGAGCTGTTAATCTGCTGATATAAGTGCCCATGGCAGTCTGTGCCTGGAGCATGAAGTCCTCTTTTTCAGCTGAGGTTGTGTGTGGAACAGGCTCCAGTTCCTGAGCTGGAGTGTGTCTGAGCATGCATTTTGTTAAAAGGATGATTTTTTTGTGTAGTGTCTCTGGAAGGTAGAGGAGGATTTCTGATGCTGTTTGGAGAATCATGGTGACAGCACTTCTTGGGGCTCCTCTTTGGATGCTTTTGTTTCTTACATCAAGGTTCTCAGTTATGGTCTCTTGAAAATATTCAGTTGAACATGCAGTTCATATTCAGGAGAACCTTTTAAGTTCCATCTCTGATTGGCAGCAAGATGTGTGTTATTGATTGCTGCACATCTGTAGGATTGATAAGGATTGTCTCCTGCATGCCTTTGGTTGGGCTCTCTTGAGGCCAGTTTTCAGGCAGGAGTTCTTGTCCTAGGTTAATTTTAACAGAGGCAATCTGGGAAACTGGCCCATGCCAGCAGAAAGGAGTCAGCCAGGAGTGCAGCTCTCTGTAGCTGTAGCTATTGTCTTGGGATAACTTTCAGAGGTTCTGTTTTCTCATTCCTTGCTCTCTTGTCTGACAACTTCATTCTTTGATTTCTTAGATAGGGTGACTGTTATTTGCAGGAAAAGGGAAGAGGGAAATTCTTCAGTAGTCCAGAGAGCTTTGGTGAGGAACTGTCAAGAGCGTCCTATGGAAAATCATTGTTTAAAACTGTGCTGGTAAAAGCTTTATGCTTACAGGAAACATTTACTTTGTTGTTTCTCTGTGTGTCTGTGGTGTCTCTGTAAAAACAATTTTTATGTTTGTCCGGCTTCTGAGTGACACACTCTTCAATTTTATTATGTTTTCTGGTGCTTCCTGCTTCTATGAAGATATTGACTTCAGCTTTACAATTATTTTCCTACACTGTACCTTGAGGCTGGTGCATAGAAAATGTTAAGCTAACCTGTTTGTCTGGAATATCCCCATGCTGATGGTTTGTCTGGAAAACAGGGCACAGCTTTATTCAGACAGCTGGTATCAGCTTTGAGCAGAGGTTCAACTAGAGATTTACAGAGGTTCACCCTAAATTTATTTGGCAAATGTAATAAAGAGAAAACTTGAATCTCAGAGTGTCTCTTACTGTTTAAATGGTGAAGGTATTAGTTATAAAAGGAGTTATTGATCTTCTTAAAAGAAAAGAAAGAAAGATAAAATATCCTGTGTCACTGAGCCTTCAGAAATTTAGGGGTATCCACACAGAAGTCTTCCTTGAAACTTTGAATTGGTGCAGCTGTTGAGGAACTATGATGGATAGGTTGCATTGCTCTTATCTCTTAGTGTCTAACTGTTGAATGTTATGGAGAATTGAAAGTGACATGTCAGATTTTCTTCTGCAGGGGAAATAAAAACTTTTTTGAAAAGGAATTTGATTTGAAGTGAATGGGAATTAAAATTTTGTCCTCATTTATATTAGCTTTGCGTCTCTTTGACTTTTTTGAAAAGCTACAGTTATGTGATGCCCACAGTTGTCTTCAGTGAATATTTTCTTGTTGGAAGAAGATTTACTGGTAGCTGCTCAGTAAATAACCGCTGAAGTCCTTATAGGTTTACTACTTGACTTGGGTAAGATGGCTCTTATCTTATTTTTATTTTAACCATTTTCTTTTTTATTTTCAAAGAAACGATTGAAAGCAGCAGAAGCAGAAAGCAAGCTAAAACAAGTGTATATACCCAACTAGTAAGTATCTCTTGTTTTGTTTTCTATCTATTTTGTAGGGGGACTGGTGTAGCAGTTTCCATGTCCTACCAATATTATTATTTCCTGGTTAGGATGTTGTACTAAATGTTGCTCATTTCGTGCATCCTCTGTAATATTCCCATCCTGAAGTGACTGTTACTTATCTTCTAATTTTTAATTTTGTCTTGAGTGGGAGTTGGGGACTTGCTGGCAGGTCAGCATGGTTGTGAACCAAAGGGTAGCTAATTAACTGTTCAATAATCTATCTGTTTTTCTTAATTTTTCTCAGCAGTGGATCACCAATGCATGTTTGTTTGCTATATATCATTATATATTAAAAATAATATATAATTATTTATATGTGTACATATATTTAAAAACAACATTTTTAGTAAAATGTGTTTTATATTTCATTTCCTCTGCACAGCCTAGTCAATAGCTGTTATAATGCAGAACTTCTAGTCTACCCTTTCCTTTCACTTTTCAACTTTCACTCCCAGATATATTCCCCTGTGTATTATCCCCAATAACTTCTTTGCTCTTTTGTGCTGTCTCCTTTTAAATATTTATGAACTTTTACCAACTGTTCTGATATTTTAGATAAAACTAATTTTTCTATATTTAGCTTGCAAGACAGCCCCTTATTTCTTCTGAAAATAGAGGATCCATGATTATATGTCAGTACCTCTCAGGTGAATTTACTAAAAATGAGGTGTAATATTCAGAGTGAAGCCAAATAGATTTCTTGTCACACAATTGTTCAATAGTATTGCTTTTTGTGGACGGTGTTACTCTGCAGGGGGACACTGAGCATCAAATTAAACATGAATTCACAATGTGATAAGCTCATAAAGCAAAAGGCAGTGTAATTTAGACTGAAGATGCAAAAGGATATTGCAGACGAGAGAGCCTGGCAGTCCTGCTGTTCTCTTGGATTATAATGTGTGGAGGGAGGGCTTTGTGTTTGGAAGGTTGTGGTGCTCACTTGATAATGGCTGCCTGGAGTGGCATCTTGTCCCTCAGCAAGGCAATTATTTTTCCTACCTACAGAACACATAATCAGATCAGCAACTTACTTCCCTGCTTCAGGAAAAGACCTGGCTCTGCCCACGTGGCTGCTCTTCTGTCTCTGGCTTTGATTTCCAGTCACAGTTCATTTTATGAGTGTTGTACCTTAACTTACATATTATTTAATTGATAAAATGTGGGATACATTTTCCTTCTCCTTCAATATCCTTTCATGTGTATCAGGGAAACTAGCAATTTCATGACTTACTTAATCAAGTGGTTCTTCTGTTTTCTTGTTATTAATACCTCTAAAGGTGGAAACAATTAAATATTTCTAGGCTTTTTGCATTACTACTAACAAGCTTGAGTATAAGGTCTGGCATATAAAGATTTTATGGCATTTGCATTATCTTGTGACCTAGAAGAAGATTATATTCTTGGCTTGTAATAGCAATGCACGGTATAGGGATCTAAATATCAATGTTATTGATTTGTCCTTATCATGTTATTGAGCCCATTCCTGTTTCTAGGCTTAAGCCATAATGATCCACTTGTCACCTCAGAAGTAAATTACTTGATGTAGGCTGTCACAAGACCTATGCAGAAGTGTAATACCTGATTGACTGAAACCCATTTTAACAGTAACTGCTGTAAAATTGTTGTCAGTGAGAGACCCTGGGGGATATCAAGCGCAAACAATTTCATCTTTTTTTTCCCTGCTGGCTGTCTTCCATTGATATGGCTCTTGTTTGTTCCTCTGATGGTAAATAGGAAAATCTAGCAGAGAGGAGGAAGATAATAAGAAAAATAATATAAGCTGTCTTCAAAGGTCACATGCATGTTACACAATGAAAAATAAAAGCTCTGTGTAAAGCTTTAGAGTTTATATTTTTTAACTTGAAACTGTGCCCCAATTTTTTAATGCAAGTAACTGAAACATGTAGGGTTATACAGGTAATTGATGTGAGGTTATCAAGTCCTATACCAATGTCTTAGAAAAACACCTCTGACTCAGACTGTATAAGCATTTCTCTACCTGTTCCAAGAATAAGCCTGGGTTTGGGGCAGACATTTGTAGTTGACTTTACAGAACTTAATGTCTGTTGATATGGCTTTGCAATGAAGTCCTTTGGCTGAAAAGCACTGATGTGCTTTCCTGGTGAAAGGAAAAAGTGTAAAATCAGTTAAACTCAGGAAATACTGAAAAACAAATGTTTCAGTTATTTTCTGTAGAACTGTCTGTGTCAGTGTGAATGGTGTTGAAGCAGCAACAGAAGCCTGAACGCACAAAGATTCCACATTCTCACATCCTTGTCCTGCCATCCTCCAAAGTGAGTGCAGTGCTTGGAAGACCTTCATGCAGATGTCATCTCAGACTTTCTCCTTCTAGGGTGTACCCAGACATACTCCTTAGGTTGTTGTGGAAGCTGTACTCTGGTTTTACTAGTCTTACAGGCATCATATATACCATCTTCTTTTTGATGAAGATCTGGTTGTGTAGCTTGTGCTTCTTGGGATTAGGACATCTGCAGTTGTGAAGGCTGAGACATCCAGTTTTGTGTGGCTTTTCTCTCATTTGCTTTCATCTAGGTGATACCAGAAGGGGTGAGAACAAAAAGAGAAGAATTAACTGCTCCACACGATTTCCAGTCTCCAAAATGTACTGTTGAAAAATGTAATTTTTAACTCTACATCTGTATGTGTTAATGAATACATTCTATTTACAGTATTTTATCTGAGAATCTCAAAGCACTCTGACAAGCTGCAAATGTGGTCTCTCAAAGGCTGTGAAGCAGGGAAATGCTGTTCTCCCTACTGTGCCCCTTTTGTGAATCCAATAGGGAAACTGGAGGAATAGGTCAAAGCTTTGGTTCACTACAAGGGGCAACTGCTTAACAAGCTGAAGATAATTCCTTTGTCTGTTTCTTGGTTGTCCTCTGCTTGAGGAGCAAGATCATTTTTCTTCCCTGTTTCATTGTGCAAAGGTCCATGACAACATGGAAAATTTAAAAGGTGTAATGCTGCTCTTCCCTCTATAGCTGTGCTAGTTAAAGTGGCAATCCTCAATTTTGTTGGAGAAAGTTGTTCCTATTCGGAAAGCATTGTTTAATGGTCTTTAGACCTGCTCTTAGAAGTGGGTATTTACAGGAGGTTGGAGAACTGTGAGGAAAACTCACCTGTGTTGCCTGGATCTAGACACTTCAGTTAGATGCCTAGAGGCAAATGGCACAAATGTGCTTTAAAAGGGATTTAAAGTTGTTTTTGTTTCTGAGGCTTTATTTCTTACTTGTTTGGTTGCATCCAGCACACATACATTCTTCAATAACAGGAAATATTCACAGGACAGTATTAAGTTTATAATTATTTCTAACAACAAAAATTTTATCCCCATGCTGTGGGTCAAATGCTTTCTACTCATCTGCTGGAGGGGTATCAGTTTTCTCTGGGGATCAAGATTATCTGCAGGTTGGGTATTTTTTGTGCAGGGGTCTCAGTACCTGTTGACAGGCTTCTCTCTGCATGTGCTTTATTGCCTCTATCTCTTCCCTTGGGACAGAGCTGAAGGATACAGCCCAGAAATCTGCACTTCATGGTCCCTGTTCTAGCATAACTGACTGCTCCTTCACAACTGAAACCCCTTTAATTCCTGATACAAGAACTGGAAATGACAGTTTGCCACACCATCAGTATTCTCACTACCTTATTTGCATCTTTAGCTTCAGCTTCGTTAATTGCTTAATGATTCATCCAGTTACTCATCTGATTCTCTTGTTAATAGCTGTGGCAGGCCTTGGTGATATCAAACAAGTTTAATTAACATATCATCAACAATTAAGAGCTTTTTGCTTCTCATATGATGAAAACATTATCTGCCTGAATTTTATTGTTACTACCACTCATAAACTTGACTGTAGCTTTGGAGCAGGATACTCTCTAGTGCTTGCTTCAGCTTCATTAATTGTAGTGCTGCAGAATCCTATAACTATAGTATGTTAGTCCTTCTGATCAGCATGGTTTGGTGACCAGCTTTCACCAGTGCATGCTTTCCACTCATGTTTTAATCCAAGCTTGATCATGGTTTTGGAGAAAATAATGGAGTCAGTCCATCATCCTCCTTTCTGGTCCTAGTTCTTTGGACATGCTTTGTTGGGCTTTACTGATGGATGTCAGACTATTTTGCTGTATTTTTGAGGAATAAATCCAAGGTATAGAAGGGAAGCAACAGGCCTGATGTTGAAGCACAAGGCCTTAGTTTTCTTTTACTTCAGTCTCTTCCTCTGTGGAGCAATGCTGCCTGTAGCAGAGTGCATCTGGGAGGGCTGTTTGTTTTGCAGCATCGGGGCAATGTTTGCATATGGGGTTTGCTCGTGAATCATTGGCAGAAGTTCTTTTGCAGCAGGTTACTATAGTGACATCCCGGAGCAGAGGAGCGTGAATGTTCCCTCTTTCAACTGCCCTTTGTTAAACTGCCCTCGGATCTCCTGCCATCTGCAGGGTCACCACTTTGTGCCTTTCTGATAAGCACCCCAGAACACTTTAATCTTTGTAGGAGCTGGGCAAAGTAATAAGCAGAAGGAGATGAAAACATATTCAGGCTTGTGAATTCCTCTAAATGTATATATTTTTTTTATCTCTGCTGCTTGTGAGCTGTGTATATGCTGCTCAGTGCACTATAGGAGCAAACTACTTACAGTGCTCCTGTGCCACTTGGCCTCCTGAGCTTTCTCTGCTGCAAAAAGGCTCTGAATTTTACAGTGAGAACGCTATCAGAAGTTTTTCCTGGACTGGACAAACACACTCTTGCCTCCTTATGCAACCTGTGTGTGGTTCCTGTAGTTCATTTATGGCAGAACCTATTTTGTCTCTGTCAAAATGGAGCTTTACTGAGCTCTGTATCTCAGGATCTGCTTGGACATTTTCAGATAAAAAGGATGTTTTCTGGCTTCTAGGGCAGCATCAGCTTTTCAGTTGTCTTCAGAATTATGTCAGTTGGAACCTCTTTGTTTTCATTGCTGAGTACATGAAACCTGATGCTGGTGCCCATTAGAAAGAAATTAATTTTACTCTATTCCCACAATGCTGTTTCTGTAGCACTAGCCTGGGTGAAACACAGCAAGTATTCTGGGTTACTGAAATCACTATTACTCCTGTATTGGTGTGCAGCTGATGTGTAGGAAGAGGGGGTTGCAGAAAGCCATTTTAAGATATTTCTGCTTCCAAATCATGGGTTTGTTAGTAGGAAATAAAAGGAATATGCTCACTCCCTTGAGTCTTCAGGTAAGAGAATACGATAGAAATGTAACCAGCGTTGCAATTCAGGCTCATGTTCAGCAGTTGGCTCTAAAGCCTCCCTGCTCTTCGCTGCTTCTGGAATGTGAACTCCTAACAGAACTCCAGAGACCTTGCATGTTTGATAAACTCCTTGTGTGCTCTTGTGTGAAACTTCATGTATGACTTCTTCCACCTTCCTCCATTCCTCAGAAGTCCTGTCCCTGCAAGTAGCAATCCTCTCTCCTCCTTTTTCCCTCCCATGCCAGATTTTGAAGGCCTCATTTTCCCCCTCTGACACCTCTTCCTCTGCAGAGATTGTGTGCTGTTCCATACTGTTCTCCATGCCAAGGTTTTGGTGCCCTTCCATTCTCAGCTCCCACCAGTAGCTTTTGTTTTAGCTCTTATTTCTTGGCTTTTCCTGAATCATCATTTTAAAGAGAGTATAGGGATGAGCTGAGGTGACCCAGATGTTTTTGCATGTTGGGTGTATTTGTGGGAATTGTGGCCACATGATGCAAACCCTTACTGTGAGACAACATGGAGATATTTGTGACTGCAGTCTAGGGTTGTATTTCCCTCAATAAAGCAGATGTTGCCTCTCATTGCCTGCTGCTCCTGCCCTCAGCCTTCTTTTTGGAGATTTAAGTAAAATATCTCTCCTGTTGAGGACTTATGAGTAAGATCTGTTTTTCCGGAATTCACATGTTTGGGATAGTGAATAAGATACTTACTTTACTGGTTTATTGTTTCTTAAAAGGTTTTGAAGTCTTGTAAATTGTTTCCAACTATCATTATAGTTATTTTCATTATCAATATTTTTAAAATAGTATTGGAGATGGTGTGTTCATAAAAGTCAGATTGCTAGTTCTGGAAGCCACATGCTGAATGAAATTTGAGTCTTCAAACCATTTTGGGCCATACCTTCAAAAGTCAAATAAAAAAATTGCATGCCTCAATTAACACTGTTGTTCTTTTTGCTTTGTGTCTTAAGCAACAAGCCAAACCCCAACCAGATCAATGTAAATAATGTCAAACCAGGAGTGGTAAATGGTACTGGAGTCCAGGCACAGAATGCGGGAGCAGGACGGGCCTGTGAGAGCTGTTACAGTAAGTGCCAGAATGGCAGCTGAGATGGAAATGTTAAAGTAAAAGCTGTCTTGTGCTGGGATGGGGGGCAGAAATGGATATAGCAGCATTTAAAAGTTTGAGGTTTTTTGAGGTTGTTTTTGTTTAGTGTTTGTTTTGTTTTGTTTTTTAACTACTAGTATTACATTTGTAAATAGAATTATGACATACTAAAGGGGCAGTTAGTAAATGTTCTACATAATTGCAGGTAACTATTGAGTGAATATTTAAATCACCAACATGTGAATTTGACACATTTTTTCATCATTTTTACTATATTTCAAAATATGTGACACCACTGTGATCTGTTGTCTGATATTAATACACCGGGTTCTTATGACTGTGCTCCTTTATGGGTAGCCTGTAGAGATGGTGGAATGTAGGAGCGTATGAGAAGTCAAATCACAGGCTCTGTACATTTTTGAGTTGTAAAATTAATATATGGGAAGTTCCTGAAGGAAGTCTTTACTTTTTCTCATGTTCTGCAGAAATTCTCTTGCAAAAAGAGAACCATCTTACCCATTGGCAGGAAATCTTCCCATCTTAGTAATTGTTTCTTTCTGTTAGCATTTTAGAAGGTATGTAGATTAAATAATGTAATCAATTCTGCTGAAATCACAAGTATGTTTAACAGTGGTGATGACAGTGAAGCCATCATCAGTTTTGGAGGTCTGTTAGAGCTTTGCTCTGTGTGTGGGGGGTGTTTTCTTTTGTGCTGCTTCTAAACAGAATAAGATCTGAAAAGTGATCCTGTGTAAGGATATATATAATTTCCACCTTTGTTATCTCTAGCCACCCAGTCTTACCAGTGGTATTCTTGGGGTCCCCCTAACATGCAGTGTCGCCTCTGTGCATCCTGTTGGACCTACTGGAAGAAATACGGTGGCTTGAAAATGCCAACACGGTTAGATGGGGAGAGGCCCGGACCAAACCGCAATAATTTGGTGGGTATCCACCAGGCAGACTGCTGCCTCTGCCTGGCAAGCTGAGTGTCGTGCTACCTAACTGCCTGTAACTGTTCTTAAATATTTAACCACCAAAAGAATGCCTGCAGCCCTCATTGTTGTCCTTGGGTTTGGTATTTCATGTCAAGCAGAAGTTGGCGCATTAACCTCAGCTAGAAGTAATTTGTTGCCAAGTACTGCCCTGAGAAAAAAAACCCCCATCATTTGTTTAGCAAAGCAGCCTTCAAATGCATGAAATTACTCAGTGGAGATGGGAGAAACTGAAATGCCAGCCAGTGTTTCTGGTATTTGGTTTCCATGATTTTTGCTGTAGGGGGAACAGCACTGTTTGTTTCTCTTCAAAAGAATTAATTATTTCCTGAAACCTATTTACTCTCCCAAGGCATATTCAAAATTAGATATGCCCCAAATAGCTAGTGGCTTTTTAGAGATCCTTTATCTTGTTTTTCTACCTAATCCCTTTTTTTTAAATAATCCTCCTTTTTTTTGGATAGGTTTGAGCAAGCATTGTATGAGCTGTTTCTGTTTCATTTTTCCTCTCTTATTTGGAAACCAAAATTCTCTGATTTTTTTTCTGAATTTGGTGAGAGTTTAATCTGGAAGCATTAGATATTAAGCTGATTGAAAAGGTAACTATATCGCATGGGTAGAAGGATAGCACACACTGAACTTTTATCTTGGGATAATTTATTTCATCTCTCCTATTCTTTGCTGTCATTCCCTTTACATTTCTTTTGTTTAACCTTTATCCTATCCAGGCTTCTCTTTGCCCTCTGAAGCCTCCTAATTGCTGAGATAACTGCTTTATGCCTCTTGTTTGTTAATTAAAAGTATGTAAATAGTCAGAGAAGGGAAAGCCTTGTTCTCCCCAAACTGAAATTTCTTCCTGTTTTCCAGCTGTGGGTGGGTCTGAGATAACAAGATACTAGCATTATTTCATTGGTTGATTTATTTGCTTTTCATGAAGAGAATAACTACTTTGGTTCTCAGTAGCTGATAAATGTCTTCCAGTAGTATTCTTTATTATATGCAATGAATATGAAATCTATCTGTCAGTACATTTGCCAAGTTAAGAGTAAAAATTAAAAGAAATTCTTGCTGCTTTGAGCCAAAACCATTCTGCATGCCATACATTTGCTTTGGAAAATGAGTTTTTGGTGTATATTTTTGTCATGCAGCTCTTCCTGATTTTCCCCTCCTTCTGATAAATGTTTTGTTATAAGGACTTTGCATTGTACCTCCAAAGCAAACCTGAGCACCCAAAACTGGAGAGTCTTTCTGTTGAGCTTATAAAGCTCTAAATCGTGTGATAGCTCCAGGTAACTTCTTCATGTCTGGGTTTTGGATCCCTACCTTAAAGCTTGTGACAGCATAGAAATAAATGTTTCCATGCAAAGTGAAAAGGTTTACCTTCATTTTATCCTTCGAGATATTAGGGATAAGACCTTGGGAAATGGGGAATAGCTGGGCTAAAAATATTTTCATCTGTAATACCATTTCTGTTCTTGTGTCTGAGAATCGGTAGTTGAAAGTGATTTTACATAATGCTTTCTCTTCTTAACAACTGTACTTTCTAATAATTACTTTTTTCAGAAACCATTTTTATTTTCCTTTCCCTTTAGAGTCCTCATGGTGTGCCAGTACGAAACAGTGGGAGTCCCAAGTTTGCTATGAAGACACGACAAGCTTTCTATCTGCACACAACAAAACTGACCAGAATTGCCAGACGTTTATGTCGCGATATCTTGCGCCCTTGGCATGCTGCAAGACACCCCTATCTGCCTATCAACAGTGCAGCAATCAAAGCAGAATGTGAGCATGCTGCAGCTGGGACCTACTTGCCAAGGAGTCCTTTGAGACTCCTGTCCTGTAAAGTTTTGAGCTGCAGCTTGCTGAGATGCTCTCTTGCACATAGCTAGTGCTTTCACAAAACCTGGCTGTACTTGCAGAGCCTTCTAACTGATAGTAGGCTGGGCAAAATAACTTAGAAAGTTCACGAGTTGTTTGTTTTAAAACATTTGCATTTCCTATTACATGGGGCATTCTCTGTGTTTGTGTCCTGTTGCCAGGATCTGCTTGCCACCTGTAAAATTCCTTTTTAACGGCAAAGCTCTTTCAGGACACTGGAGTTATTCACTTGGTTTTGCTATAATAGCTAAATGTCTTCACCCTCTAATTATTTTTCTATGTTTTACAGGCACAGCACGTTTACCTGAGGCATCAGAAAACCCATTGCTATTAAAGCAAGTGGTTCGAAAGCCTTTAGAAGCAGTACTCCGGTATTTAGGTATTAAAAAAACTAAATCATCACATGCAAAGTCCCCAAACACAGGAAACACCCTCCTAGCTACTCTGCTGACCATTTGGGTTTTCCGCTTGGGTCTAGATTTAGATGCTCATTCTGCATTCAAAACAAACAAACAAGAAACAAGGCACAAAAAACCCCACCCCACAAACAACAGAAAACATGAAACCCATTTCATTAACTTGTCCTTTTTACTTTTCCTACTTTATCTGACAGACCCAGTGTCTCTGCAATCCACTCTGGGGTCATAAAGCTGTATTAGAAACTTTTTCAAGTGAGGGGAGGGATGTGTTTGCTGTGGCTTCTGATGCATATGGATACAAGTTACTATCTGCTAATGGAGGCACTGACATAATGTTTTGGGAACATTTGATTATTTGCTTCTTCTGGTTTTGGGTTGTATGGAAGGAATAATACAATTGGGTCATCCAAGAAATATCTTGGGTTTAGGACAGCACTGTGTCCCTCAACTTGTGAATCAGTTGATGGCTGTTCTGTGCTGAATCTAGACAAGGGGATCATACTTCTGTTTTTCACTTTCCTCTTGGGTATTGATGGGGGGTTTTTTTGGTGTTTTGTTTTGTTTTTGTGTTTTTTTAATTACAATTTTCTTGAAGTTGGATAATATCTTTATTTTAATAATTGTACAGAAAGTAGCATCAGATTTTGAGTCTTCCTTGCACTGTGTCAGGGTCACCACTGGATTACTGAGCTGCGAGATAAGAGTGATGGAAGTGGAAGGAGGACTGGCAAGGAGGTTTTTTTGGTGGTGTTAGTGGGATTGAATAGATCTCTTACTCTGCTGTTGGGCCTGCAAGGGAAGACTCAGTTGACGTTCCCATTTGCTGTTTCTTGTAACTATCTCGAATTCTTTTCAGTTGAAGAGTGTGGGCTTGATGTCTGCCTTGGCTCAAAGCTTGAATTCAGATGTTACATTCTTTATAGTGGATCTTTGAATCTTCACTTTTTTTGCTGTTGGAGAAATTGTATTTTTTATAAATGTTTCTGGCAAACTGGCAGAGTTGTGATTTCCCCAGAGTTTAGGGGTGTGTTGCATGACCAACATGGTCAAAGTTGGGTTTTAGCGTACAGCACTCCAAAAATCACCCAAATTATTGGAGAACAGTGTTACAGAAGTAGATACAAGGTGCTTTTGCTATCAAATCTTATTTTAGGATAATACTATGATAATGATTTTAATGTCTTTAGTAGTGGTGAATTGCTAAATATATGGAAATGCTTTATATCAATAGCAAATTTAAAACTATTGACTGAGGTAATTTCTGTATAAGAGGAGGGGTATTTGGTCACCTAGGAAGTTTGCATTTTGTTTTCAGACTTATAATTCCAGTATTTTTGCTAATAAAAAAATTCTACTTTGCTGTTTTCCACCAGAGTCTCATCCGTGTCCTCCAAAACCAGATCCTGCAAAAAGCTTGTCCAGTTCTCTCAACAATCTGACTCCTGCTAAGTTTACACCTGTCATTAATAATGGGTCCCCAACTATCTTGGGAAAAAGAAGCTATGAACAACACAATGGAATGGATGGTAAATATTTTTCCACAAAATTTATGTTGTGTCTATAGGCTTTTTCTTCTATCCTTTCGGTACACAAGGAGATTACCTAAACTCATAGTCCTTTATGTAAATTCCAAGTTTCTTATTCTTGAGGGAGGTTATTTTTAGCTTTTGTAAAAGCCACCTGTCCCATTTCTCTTCTTGGGTGAGGCATGTGGTCTGTACTGCCCAGGAAGTGTATGCACTCAAAGTCACTGTGTTAGTAGAACTCTGCCTGGCCTGGCCAACCTTGCAAATGGAACAGTGAAGCAGAAACTTCCCTTCAGTTTTTAAATTAGTAGTGTGAAGAACACCCTACTAGACTTTTTGAGTGATGTTTCCCTTGTTGGCCCTGTTACTGACCACCTCTGTGCTTGGGCTTCACCTCCTCAAGAAGAGGAGGCAAGGGACAGGTGTTTGAAGTGGGAGATAGAAGCAGGATGTTCCTGGCGTGGACTCCAGGTCTCTGTTCTGAAGAATTGCTCTTGCTTAAGAGTGTCAGGGAAGAGAAAGTGCAGTCTCTATGTCAGATGAGGAGAAAAGGGTCTGTTGAAATGGTCGTAATGGGAGTGAGAACACAGAGGGGTAGCTCTTTAACAGGGGAAAGGAACAGTTGGTGAAATGGTGACTCCAGCCAGGAGTTCCAGATCCAGAGAGTCTTTCTCATTTTTTACCTTTAATTTTAACTTTATAAATAGCTTATCTGAAATATAATTACAAACATTTGATTGTATCTGATTGTGTTTTAACATTAAGAACTTTTAAAACTGCTGCTGTTCAGGTTGCTGATGTGATGTTTTTCTCTTTTCTGTTCACTTGTGCTCTATCAGGCAACATGAAGAAGCGCCTGTTGATGCCTAGCAGGGGTAAGACCTTGAAGCTGCGCTCAGCTTATGCTAGGAGAGTGATTTTTAGTTTCATCTGCTGGCTTGTCTGTGCTTTGTGGCTAATGAGTCTGTGTGCACCTTCTGTGTTGATGTCTAAGTGTTCCTTGGGTAACCACTTCCACCCGTGGTTTTGCTGCTCACTTTTCAGGCTTTTCACATGCAGGCAGTAAGTTGTGCAACTGTACTGAAGACACGAAGTCCTGTGTTGAGTGTTGATTCCTAATTCCTCAAGTTGACAGAACAGTCTTCCAGCAGTTCCATGAAACTGCAGGAAGCTGTGATGGTTGGTTTGTAAATAGGGATTGTTTCACTGTTTGACTTCTAAGAAAGCAAAGTTTCACATGTCTTGCACTGCTCTGAATTCACTTGGACCGAAAGAAATGGAAGACAGTATTTACATCAAGTCCCAAGTTCCAACTGTATTTTCCAGTGAGAGAGGACAGTTCTCACTGGTGAGAGACTGTCTGCACATTCTCTGCAGGCAGTAGAAAATTATTTTCAGAATTTACACTGGTTAAAAATTAATCTGTTCTGAGTACTGAAGAGATGTCAGAATCTTTCATTTATGATAATGGAGGAAAATTATATATGATGTCACTTCACCAAATTTAGTAGGACGGACCAATTTTGAATATTTAGGAGACAGACAACCACAAAATGTCACTGTGAACAGGCAAACACAAAAGCTTACATGTTGCCATGAACTGGCCAGCACTGCATGCCCTGATGATAATTTTTGTGTTTCATGGCTGAGAAAGTGGATGCCTGTTACCCATAATTACATGCATGCAAATATGAGTGCATGTGGAGAATACAGCAGTGAGGACAGTGGTTGTTCTACTGTCTTGCTCTCCTTGGGAATTTATTCCCTGATACCCTGTTGTTGTTTGTATGTGCTTTGTCTTTTGGGAAGAATAACAAAACCCTGCTACATTGGTCAGTTTGGCTTTGTCCAATAATGAAAGATGCAGGTGCAGAGTAGTTCACTGAATTTCCACAGCTCCTGGTGACTACCTGCTTATGGGCAGACCTGCTGCTCCCTGGTGAATGCCCTCCTCAGCAGATGATACACTTGGAAAGCTCAGAGATGCTGTGGCCCAAAGGAGGGGAGAAGAATGGATCCTTCCCTCTGAAAGGCTCTCTCTGCGTAGAGCACTGGAACTGATAACCTGACACAAGTTTCTGGAAATGGAGGATCCCTGTTTTAGTGTTCCATTTGGTTATAACTGTTGCTGGAGCTATCTGCAAAAATGATTTTGGAAAGTACCTATTCCTCAGAGTTTGTGTTTCTCTGAAGCAGGTGTGTGTAGCTGTGCAGGGTCTGGATCTTCCCAAACACCTGCTGCTGTACCTGTTTGGTCTGTTCTCAGCCAGCCACTGAAATACTTGCTGGAGTACTTGTACCTGTAACTGCTAGGTAACAGACTCCAGTTAACTCCCAGAATCTGTTTACCTGCCGGGGTAGTGAGTGTTAACTGGATATTCTTGTGAGCAGTTCAGCTTAAACCTGTTGGTTGAGATTTGTGAATGGAAAATGTTTGCCACGCTGCAATTTTGCATCTGTAATATTTCCTGAGCCTGGGTTGCTGGAAGCTTTGCCAGGACTGAGGGGGAAGGCAACCACCTGCAAAGAAACAACATTTAAAGAATTTAGATTGAGATCTGCTGGGCACAGGGAAGCAGATAGTGGAAGTTTGGTGGATCTCTTTCTGTCCTTGTGCCAGTTTGTGTGTTGGTGCCTCTTAGCACAGGTTCCCAGCTGCCTTGTGTGTGAACTGGTAAACCTTGCTGGCTATAGGCATGCATACAACTGGTTTCTTGTGCCATGAAAGGACTGGGATTGTAGCACTAAGTCTTCTTGGTTTTGAATGGAGTCATCCAGCCTTAGTAGTCTGGGGGGGCTGCTGGCAGGAAGGGCACAAGTTGGAACTGCTGTGAAGAAGAGGTGAATGGCAGTGAGAGTGATGAAGGCTTTTGGCCAGAATTTAGGAGCCAGTGAGTGAGTATAAAAGGATTGAAATAAACCTGTCTATCCAGAATAACTGATTTTTGGATTATAGTTGACCTAAATTAGTAAAAAAAGATTGAGAGTAAGCCTGACTTGTCAATTGGTTAGATTCTGCATTTACATAGATACAATTGGAAACTGGGGGTGTTCCTTTGTTATTTTCGTTTCTCGTCTCCTCTTGACATACTGACTAGTTTAGGTCACTGTTGGGGAGTGTAGTGCAAAAAAAAAAGGATGGTGTTAAGAAAATGTCTGCACAGAGAGGCTGAAAATATTCTTTCTGCACAACTTTAGGTGCAGGAAGACACTTTGTCCTCCTAAGTTTAAACAGTTTCCAAAGAGCTGTTAACCTAGTGCAAAATTGTATCTGTTACCCAAGAGTTTTTCTGTTTCCTGCTGATGTGCTGCGTTGTTGGCACCTGGAAGACATCTTAGGGTTTGGACAGGTCACTGTGCCAAAGTCTGTGACGGGACAGTGGACACTGTTATGGTGGGTTTTAGCTGAAGTCTCTGCTGGTGCTAAAAGCCTTGTGGTGCTGGGCCATCACCTCCAAACACAGGGGAAAAGTCTGAACACTGGAAATTATGGCATGTGATGGTTTTGTAAGGCTTTCCTCAAGGCCAGGTTGTAAAGCAGAATATAATCAAGAGGTTTATTTGCAAGAAAGAGCCAGGTAGCAGCTTATATCTGTATGGTGTAAAACATTAAGGTACATCTTTATACATGATGGTTGCTGAACTTCAAGAAGTAGTGCACATTTTTCCTTTGGAATTCTGTCTAATTGTTTGTTT